AAATAGTGACATTTAACTTCTTTCTTCCCATTACAATTAGTCGTAGAATGAAAGGTATTAAATCATTCTTTACCCCAAATAAAAGTAGTAACCTCTTGACTTCTGCAAGACATAACCTACACTTGTCATAGCTATAGATTAACATCTGTGGCTGAATACTGCAAGAGAGACAGCCCACATACGATCTCTAAACTATCTCGGTCTTAAAATCACTTTGATTATTATCCAAATAAACTTAAAAATTTGGACACAACATCTAACAAAATATTGCAAGTGATAGAAAGTTTAAGCATTTGTTCGGTTTTAGTTTTGATTTCTATTCACGAACTTCACAAGTAGTGCACTTAGAATGAATGAATATTTACCGCTGCGATTCTCTCAAGGTCCCTAGAGAGTTTATAAAAGTCGTCAAATGCTATAACCGGTAATTCTTTTGTCCGATATAACGTATTGTGAATTCAAATTAAGTCTTTTTGTTATTTCGTAGTAATTAAGAGGAAAGAATTAAAAATGATTGCACTTCAAGCGCATTCTTTTCACGGATGGACTTCATTTTAAGCAAGTATCTAGACGATTATATTCAATGAATGCTTTAAATTTTATACCATAATATAATGATATGATTATAAAGATGATTTAATTACTTTAAGATATAGAACATATTAAAATAGATATCAGTGGGTTGTGTTCAGGATAATGTGAGACCTCATTTATCTGGGAGCTTGTAGTCGCCCGATCACGTCTCGTCTATTAAGGCTGTAAGTGGGACTGTGACGGGTTATCAATATTGAGCATGCTTAGATCCACTAAATATTCCATGTCAGCAACATTTATTCATTGCGGAAGCAAATCGAACTAATATTTTTTGTTGTTCTTTAATTTAGTTTTTTGATCTAGAAGTTGGAAGTATGTACTTTAGGTGTAATAATTTTTTTTTCCATTTTTATATCTCTTTTTTATTAAAATTATACTATAAAACTGAAACAACAATCGGAAATTTTAAGCATTAAACAGTTTATAAGGAAAGTTAATTGTTACTTAGAGACATCAATACGTAGTTTTGTATAGTTAAAACCCCTAAATCCTCATAAAATTAACTTCTTATCGAAGGTCGAAGTGTAAATTACTTGTATTCATATTAAATTTACTTTAGTAAATTTACATACAATTATACAAGTACTTAATAAAGGTTAAAAAATATCATAGTACATAGTGCAATCTTACATAAAAGTGAAATAATTACGCACATCATAGAAAGACCTGTATCAAGATATATCAACGTAAAGTCATTTAACAAAGTTATATTGTTTTGTCTTATATTCGATTAAATAATAACTAAGTTGAAGCATAGTCTCTAATTATTTGATACCTAATAATATAGTTACATGGGATACTAAAGCATAAGTTTCTCTTAAAAGGTTTCTCAGTAACAAAAGAAATGGAATACTTGATAATGTTAAAGGACTACCTACAGTACAATGTTATAAAGTGCGGATTCAAAGAATTCTATTTAGTTTTTTCTAATATACATGTACTAGGTACATATAAATCAGATAGTTAAAGCCAGAAAAGAAGCAATTTTGCTGCAAGTACTGTAAAGCTGAAAATGACAGCTAATGTAAGTACAAGTAGTTGGAGTTTGTGGAGGTAAAATAAAGTTTCTATAGAATAGTTTACAACAGAATCCCAATAGTATATGAAGTATTCTGATAAATTAAATTTCACTATATATCCTAAACTACAATAATATAATTGGTATATTATCAAAAAAGAGTTGGTCTTCTAACAAAATTTGACATTTATTCCGTCCAAAACTTGTAAATAATTAATAAGGCACTGTACCTGATTCGTTAATATGTGATAATGAACTTTCAAAATTACTAACACAAACGTATTTATATATGGAAAAATAAACAAAAATGACTACAAAAGCTTGGATTATTTGCTGAAATAACAACATATCTTCCCGCATCGAAAAATGCTTTTAAAATTATATGCAGTTGAAAAATGTTTTATACAAAGAATTTTACATATCAAAATGTTTGTATCCTTTGAGCCATAAATTTTTTTTTGTTGGATTTTCGCTTTGATCCTACCGACGCTGACCTTTGAGTGTGAATCTTTGAGCCAACTTTGAATATGAATAACAAAATTGCTTACGATCATAGATGTCGTTCGTGCTTGAAATATCACAGTATTTCATACGAATATTTTTAGGTGTTGAATTTTAAACTCTCAGTTTTGATATGACATATTAATAGGATATAGTTTTAAAACACTTTAATTCTATAATCATAAACAATATGCTTTCAAATTTGGTCGAAGTATACGTCAACCCCGAATGTCCCCAAGTGACGCCGTTACAATTTCAAAACGACCCGTCTTGACACACTTCCCGATGAATACCTGACTTTTAATGTTGTACAAATACAAAGACTCCAGCGATTATACGTTATGTTTACTCTGCAGTGCAATTGCAAACGTTGCATTGAGTGTGTTTTGCAATTTTAATTTATACTTTTAAAATCTTATGTACTCACTAAAACTATTTTATTCAAATATGTACTTACTATGATTTTTATTTTTGAAAGATTTTGAAATGAAATACAAAGAGTCATAATGTATAAACTATTGTTGTGGCTATGTTATGATAGCTATTGTTTGTTTAGTTTTAGTTTATCTCAGAAATTGTGATAATTTTTCTCGTAACATAAAAAATGATTGTCCTCTAAATAACGAGAAAAGAGGATTGAGTTAAAATCTATAATGAAGTACTCGTATACCTAATCTTAATCTCTGAAGAACCTTGCAATTCAATATTCTTTTTAAAAAATTCTCTATTACTCGTTGCTTCGGTTCAATTGACTTTATATAACACTAAAGAGTAATTAATCTCCAAATATATATTTTTTATATATATTTAAATTTAACTTACAACGAACAAATATTTTCATATTTATATTCATTCGAAAGCCTAAATTCCCTTGAGAAATCTTTCGCTTGTATGAATTCTAAAAGAAAATTACGTAAAAAGTATTGGTATCGCTTTGTGATATCAAAATAAATACATATACTATTTATTAAATAATTCTATGGCAACGTGTAAGTAATCTTAATTAGAGACTAATACCTTACAATATTAATTAAACACTTTTGTTCCTATTGATTAAACCCAATATTAATTTGTATTTACAGCTACCAAAGAAAGCTATTTATAACATATCGGTAGGTTGGAACAGAATAGATATACACTAGGTATACTATCCCACAGTGAATAATATATAACGATAACATGTGCAGACAATATTGGTCGTCAATTATAAGCGGCTCATTACTTCATAAAGAATATATTTCCGTGAAGATTTCAATGATATAAAACCGTTGATATATTGATAGAAAAATAACTAACCATTCGGTTTATTGAAACGCTTTCACTCGTCGTTTAAGCCCATAGCCATTTGTGCAGCAAAAGTGTAGTGTGACGATAAAATCGGTTACATTATGCACCATAACACTTACTCTTTGTTGGTATTGCGATTTAAAATTTCTATTTGCCTGTTTTGTTGCTTTACATTAGACTTGTGTGAAATTAAAAGTTCATTGATGCTAAATTGTTTACACTTCAATCTATTGAATCTAGAGTACACAGCTTTCTGCGTCTAAATTAGTTTTAAGAAATCAAATTATGAGATAACAAATGTTATTTTTGTTATACTTGTTTCATTCACCAAAAACGATACAATACTATAATCGCATTCTCAAAATTTAAGCCTTCAATTAATCAGAAATGGAAGCCAGACGTTGTTCGCAAATGCACCCAATAACGTAGCAATTTTCCAATCCACTATAAGATGATGCCAAGCGACATTGGACCTAATAAATTAATGTTACGGTAGCTTTTCCAATGTACATTTTACATTGCGGATCTTCGGGGAGTGCCCAGTTAGAATAACTAAAAAATAAATTTAAATTTAGTTCAGGTTATTCACCTTTAATTTTTCTCTTTTGTTTTGGTTAAAATTTGGGAAGAACTAAAGAGTTTTATAATTTTTTTATAAATAATTCAAAATTTTAAATTACTCTCCGTGTTTAACTGAAAATTTTATTCAAAAATCGATAGATTTTCGTAATTAATTTAACAAACGTCAAAAGATTCCCTATTAAAATATTAATTATTATAAATTATAGAATATTCTATACAATTATTTCGACTTTACGAACTACTTTACAGATTAAATCGTTGAGACATACATAAAATCTTAATCATAATCAAATTTTTTATTTGTTTTATTTATGACAAGTACAATTGAAGATAAAAAATGAAAAGTCTATCTTTCATATTTCGTTTTGTTTAGTATTTTTTTATTATTGAGTATTTTGTTAAATAATTTAAATTAAATCTTGTGGATGGCTCCAGAATAGACTGGATCATAGATCATATAAGTAGTTCTATAAAAAACTGGCTACTTGAGACGATGTTATAATATCCTAAATAATAAATAATTTATTAACATGATACTTAAATTTATACTTAATAAAAGGGTTTTCTTTTCTTCAACATACCTCTTTACCTTTATTTACAGAAATATTTATATTTTGAGACACGAATAACTTATATATTTCCATTTAATAGCGGAACGATAAATGTATTAAAAGCTCATTATGTATAATTAATTAACAATTTGGTGTTTATGACGATTATCTACGAATACCTTGACAAACTTTAAATAGAAATATAAAAACACAAAAATCTGGATACAAGTGCTTCTTTATAGCATTTTTTAGTAAGAAACCTAAAAAATAGAACAAAGAATTGTTTCCATTTTGCTAGTCTTTTGTCCCCGTTGAAAGTAGAGCCACAAACTAACTATTTATAGTGTCGAGACCTAGTTTAAAAGGATACAATAAGAACCGCCTCATTTCACGTCCCTCCCAAAATTAATAAGAACCAGTTTGGTTATTTCAATCATTTTGTAAGGTAATGCGGAATATCAAATCCCATGATGAATATTGTTTTGATGACGAAATGTGACAAAAAGAAATTGAATCAAACTTGTGGCAAGGGGTTCAAATTGATTTACACGAAGGAAAGTACCGTCGTAAGTGACAAATCTAAAGCTCTAGATAGCTTCGAATGTAATCCAGGGCCTTATAACGAAGTTATTGTTGTAACAGTGTATATTGCGTGACAACAAAGCGTTATGTAAATGGAAGTGGCGCGAAAACTTTACACTACCTGTGACGCTGAGCAAGGACATGATGGGACGAACGTCCGCCTGGGCTGGCTGGCCCGTCGACCCGAGGCGGTCGGCGGGGCAGCGCCTCACCGGCCGCCGCGGGGCGCCATAACTCACACACGCGCCCCCGCTCCTCGCGGCCCGGCGACCGACTGAAGCCCGCCGCCTAGCCGACCCATCAACTTACAACACGCACATGCCTCCGCCGACCGGCGCCCCAGCCGACACACATCACAAACCCAGCCACATGGATGACACAACGAATCGTCCCCGATACAACGGAACCGCACCGAACGCGACGAAAGCTCGTCGTGTTAGCCCGAGTAATAAGGCTTCGAAAGCGCATCCACACATTTTTACGTTCACGTCCAGTACGCAGGCGCAGTCGGGACGTCTTCTGACATCACCGGCACCCGGATTATTTTCGCCCGGCGAGGTAAATACCCTCACATCGATCGAACCCGGTTAAACTGGATGCAATTATTGCACTGGCCTAGTCTTGTTGCACTGATCATTGATGTATGAAAAAAATAATAAGCTCATAATTAGAATTCAATAAAGAAACATCAAAGCCGTGGTTTTTCATACAAGTTCTTTGTGACATTTATAATCCATCGTTTGATATGAAATAAAAATGTATTTATTTTCGTCTTGGCTACATCGTATTTGATCTTTGATGTCATCATCTTTTAAGGATTTATTTGAGGTCACTTTGTACAGAATATATTTTTATTATATTATATGATTTTAATTGAACATGTCCTACGAAATAGGATTACCAGCTTAGAGCAAAATTCATTCCACGTACTCGTTAGCACCGCATACACCTACGATTTATACTTGTATCTCGAGACTTGTTCAAAATTATCCGCTACTAGGATACATGTCCTTATCAGTTACAATATTTTTATTATTTTGTTTTATATTGCTTATGTGAATTCACATAATTACGTTATATGCAGGTGTTATTGTTATTCGAAAATATTTCTCTTGAAATCTGATAGTTTATCATGAGAATAATCAATCGGTTCTGTCATATATAATAGTAATGAATCACAAAATTCTGCAAAATAATAGTTACCACAACGATCAAGAAACTCAGCTACTCTAGATAGCTAAAGATTTAAGATGTTGCTTATGACCTATTGAACTCTTAAAGGCGATTCTTGTAAAGAAGCCAAGATGATTCTTTAAGTCGGTCGTACTATATACATATCTACCACAAAATAAGATATAATTTTGTAAGACATTTAGAAGAATATACATATATATCTACAATAACTAGGCTTATTTAATAGCAATATGAAATTTTATACTTCTGGAAGTACTCTCGTAAAGATAAAATAATATGTATAGATTTTAAATATTGCTATTACTTTATACCTTCTTGCTGTATCACATGTAAGTGCTATCAAATTAATCACTTTATTTCTAAGAAACATAGTAACCCTCTACCTTCCTGAATAATAACAGAACTATGCGACTAAGAAAGAGCTGATTTGAATGGCATGTCCTGAACCACATATTGAACCTATTGCTGTATAATTATATAAAGAAAGATCTTATTATTTTGAAGCTATCATTACATTGCATGCCATTAATATTGTCTGCATGTAATGGTCAGTACCATCCCTGATTTGTGACACAAATAATCTTTGTCAATGAGTTGTTGTAGCCAATTGGTTTACGTAATTCGCACGTGGCGACAGCGTCACTCGCGTCTTCCGACTTTGCACGAAATCACTCGAACAATAATACAAATATCGATCGGACTGTATGTAGCGACGGTATCGTGACGTCACGAACGGACTATATATGGAACAAGATTAAAATGTACCTTACTTAAAGGTATTAGAGCTTAAGATGGTACGACGATATTGTCTAATCGATTTTTAGGTAGTAACGCTACTGGACTCGCTTCGAACGAGCGAGCCTCCTGACCCATATTGAACGCATTCAACTGCCTGAAAACTGCGTAATGCGTGTGCAATGTATACTTAAGTTGTAATTGAAACGATTTCTTTAAACGAAGTTTTTGATTGGATGAATTGAGGTTCAGATCAATGCTTTTATAACTAGTCCTTCTTTGGTCACAAATTAGAAAAGTAACGGCTTTAGTCAAGCCGAGTTATGAATAGTTATTAAGGCAGCATAAACATAACAGACGTACCAAGTTTGATTTTGAAAAATATCCCAACCCTTAAATAAATATGCTTGATTTTAATAATACATACTTACTTACAATTTTCAACTCGAAATGAGGTATACAAAAGCATAAAATGTTTATTTAAACCATAAGGAATGAAGTATTATTGGTGTTTGTTTGATCTCATTCCCATTTTGGAATGCAAATATTAGCTGTGAGCAAATATGAACGTAGTGGGCATAACCAAATTGAAGTTACCGACAATCTGTCTGTAAGCTAGTAGCCTTCTACCACGCGACTGTAAAATCTTTTACACAGTGGGCACACAAGTAATTTTTTTATAATGGACTTTACAACTTATATGGACTTGAAATAAAAGTTAAGTTAATAGGTGAATTTACGATACAATAGAAAAAAAAAATCAAACTAATATTATTAAGATTATCCATACAGTACACTGTTTAAACCAAAAAACAAGCTTTAAGATTAATTTTAAAGTTTCTTATAACAACCCCGAAATGTGTCCCTCGAAAATAACGGTTTAGGTAATATTTTTCAATGAGAGTAGTAGTTACGGCTAGGAAAGTCTGAAAACTTTAAATAAATAAAATTAATGCTTCGCTACAGGGGGAGATAAAGTATTTTGTAAGAAATAATATGACTGTCATACATCAAGGAAAATATAAGAAGCTGTACGAATAACATCACGCTGCAAAACAATCTTTCACTGGACACTGTAACTGTCAAGCCAGATTTAAATCACCTCTATTTGTCAATTGCCTATTCAACCAATTGCTATCATTAACCAAAAGGAAAAGGTCAAAACGTTTCATTGTTTGTAAATATCGTTCAAAATTTAATATACTTGATTTTCAAGTACTACCCGTTAATCTCTTAGTATAAACTATTAATAAAACAATTTAATATCTTGTCTACACATTCTTAAAGTCAAACCTTATGAATAATCAATATCCGATGAAATATTAAAACGCCACAGGTAGCTCTTGCTTTATCTATAATTTCGCTGAATTCTCGCCCGAAGCGAACCCAATACTAAAATTAAACTTTTTATTCGCAAACTAACTTGTACCTTTGACTTTGGCAGTTCGAAATTTGTATGTGGGTTTAGTTCTTCTGAAATTCCTTCATTAAGATTTACATACAGAAACAGTTTCAAATAAATATTTAGTCGAATAGCACACAAACAACATATTTCCATTTACCTATTATGCAGCCAGAATATTTATTTATAATTATTACTACTAATATTATAACAGTACAAAATAAATATTTTTTTATCACTAAAAATAATCAAAAAATATTTTTTTATAATTTTTACTGAACTTTTTTTAAGTACCTTTTTAAACTGAAGTTCAAGCAAAACCGGCAACGCGCTTCTAGTAGTAATCTAGTACTAATCCCAACAATTATTCCCTTGTTTGAACATAAACCTTTTTCTAAAATTTACTTCAGATTATTGCCTAAACCCAAATTCAATATATTTAATGCAACTTTTAATAATCTAAGCAGTCACATGTATTAACTATTAACAAATTAAAATAATACTAACAGCATGAGCAACAGCAACACAACAACATGAATAGAGGTAGACGGTTAAGGCTGACATGTCCTAAAATTAATGATAAATTATTTTAGGAATTCCCTCCGTTATTAAAATTTTAGCAGAAATAGTCACAAGCTCAAAAGATTTGCTAAAAGATGTTGCTAAAAGATTTGCTCTGCCTATATTTTGATTTTGTAATATGAGGTAATGACCGTCAAAAGTTTTTACTATATCGTATTACATTAGTCTTTTTATTTACTTGAAATTTATTATATCTAATTCCCGATATTTTTATAAATTATGGATCATATAATTAAGTCAAGCACACTACTTGTTAGCAGAACAAATTAGGAGAATCAGAAAATTTTTTCGTAAGGTACCTACTGTTCTTCTTTCTCTAAGTATATACTTATTTATGTTCTGCAATAAAATCCCCACTGAAGCTTTCCTTTTAACATGGTATTTTCCGAAATCGTATTACTACTGCATAAGCAGTCCCGAGAATTGAGAAAGCATTCATACTTAATTCTTCTTTGTTACGGGCTCGGAAAAAAAATCATTGTTAATAACGGGATATTATCCAAATGACCGACTATATCGAAAAGTATAGAGTACTAGCTTTCCGCCCGCAGCTTCGCCCGATTCGATTTCGGTTATATCGCGTTTAAAAGAGAACCTTTCAAGTCTGGGATAAAAACTATCCTATGTTCTTTCTCAAGGTCAACTCTATCTCTGTACCAAATTTCATTAAAATCAGTTCAGTATTTAAGGCGTGAAAGCGTAACAGACAGACAGAGTTACTTTCGCATTTATAATATTATAGTAGGGATATAAGTACCTACTGTAGGGAATATTTACAGGGAAAGAATGAAAATAATAAAACATTCGATGATGTTTAGCTTTAGTTTAACTCTGAAAATAATATATTGGGTGATTTTTAAAATATAAGCTTATGCTTATCTCTCAGTAAAAAAAATAGGATTGATGTAAAATGTTCTATGATCAATCCTCTGCTCAACAACACAATCATAGGACGTTTTCTACCCAAATAATTATCTAAGAAATCATTTACATCTTTTAAAGATAATCGAATGTTGAAAATCATTTACAGGTAGTACGACAGAAATTTTCAAAGATTAAGTGTTACTATGCTGTTTTAGAGCTCATAATATTTTTGTAGCATCCAATATTAACTGTTTTTTTTTTAATTTCAAAGGTTGCAAACGAGCAGCAACATAATTAAGGAGAAGTAGTCATCGTTGCCCATGAATATCAGCGACATAAGGGATGTTGCGGATGTGTTTCCGAGTTTTTTTGTGGAACAGGGAGAGAAAAGGGTGGAAAAAGGAAAAAGTCTCACTCACTGGAAGAAGCGCAGTTATTACTACTTCACGTCGGTCTTTTGTGAGAGGGTAGTACGTCCCCGGTCGAGCTGTAGTTACTTGACTTGGTTCTACCACCTTAAAAATTTCAAAAACATGAAACATGAATTTTTTGTTTTCATATTTTCACTAGACTTATTTTTTAAAAGCAATTTGTACTAAAATACAAAGAAACCGACGGTTTTTCTTCTTCTCTATGTGCTTTCGAAGAATTAAATACAAAGTTAATCTAAAAATCTTATCAGGGTAAAAAACATTTTTGTTTAGTAACAGGTTCATTATAAAAGATTTAAACTAGTTTTTAACCTTATGGTGACTACTACTTATGTATATAGTAAATGTTACTTTTATGTATGGGTATATTCCTAAAAATTTTATTGAAAGAAATCCTTAGTTTACTTGTAATCCGTTTTCCTTTAACCCCATTACACATCACTTAATCCAAGAGATGAGACTAAGCAATTAATGAAGTAGGCAGGGATTCCATCGACCGTAAGAGACTTTACATGGGGGTCTTACGGTCGATGGCACTATACGCCGCGCCAGTGTGGGTAGATGCCCTGACAACCCGAAACGTCGCTGCACTGCGAAGGCCGCAGCGCGTAATGGCGGTTAGGGTCATCAGAGGTTACCGTACGATCTCCTTCGAGGCAGCGAGTCTCCTAGCCGGATCCCCCCCCTGGGACCTAGAGGCAAAACTCCTCGCAGCGCTCTATCGGTGGCGCGCGGAGGTGGTCGAGAGAGGCGAACGCCTGATACCTCGACTATTAAGAGCACGGAGGGCGGAACTCCGCCAGGTCCTAATGGCGGAGTGGCACACGCGCTTAGCGCAACCCACGGCGGGGCACGCCGTTATAGCGGCGGTAAGACCTGTTCTACAGGAGTGGCTGAACAGGAGTCACGGCGCCCTCAGCTTCCGGCTAACGCAGGTACTTACCGGACATGGATGTTTCGGGAAGTACCTGTGCCGCATAGGTCGGGAACAGACGTCCCAGTGCCGACATTGCGGTGACTGCCCCAATGACACGGCGCTGCATACATTGGCGGAATGCTCAGCTTGGGCCGAGCAGCGCCGTGACTTGGTTGCGGCGGTAGGGGTGGCAGGAAACGTGTCACTCCCGGCAGTTGTGTCAGTTATGGTGGGGAGCGAGTCAGGGTGGTGTGCCGTCGCCACCTTCTGCAAGGCAGTGATGCGCGCAAAGGAGGTAGCGGAAAGGGAAAGAGAGGTTGCCTCCTTTCTCCCCTCCCGTACTAGACGCACTGCGCGCCGTAGGGTGACCGATTTCCGGCCACCGTAGAGCGCGGCCTGTGGACGACAGATTCGGGGCATCTGTCGTCCGATAACAGCTACAGGCTTCGAGGGGAGGCGTGTAGTCCACGCGCGCCTCATAGTTAAGGTTTCATGACCGGGTGACGGGGCCCGCCTGACCATCTGGCGGGTCAATGCCTGTCGGGGAGGTAGCGATGAATGCTTCGGCGATACCCACCTCTCCGGCACACGGGTAGATGAGGCACACGGGTTGGTTTTTAGTCAGTAGGAGTCTGACAGTCCCCTCCGTCCTTCCCCGAGGGCGGTGGGGCTCCATGAGGATTTTCCAACCCGACACCAAAAAAAAAAAAAAAAAAAAAAAAAGGCAGGGATTCCAAAACTTATGTTGTCTACTTCCTACTTTGAGAATGAATTGTTTTTTAGCGACCCCTATTTAACCCACCGGAAAACCTCTATAACTTCTGCAGGGCCCACAAAAAGGGGTTATAGCCCACTTTGGGGAAAGCTGGATTATAGGTTTCAAAATCTTATGATGTCAAGAGATGTTATAAACATTTCTCTTTTAAATATAACACAATAACAATAACTAAGTAATGTCTTTTATTCAAATTGAAAATCTTTTACATAATTTATAATTCAACCTCAAAAATTATATTCTGAATAAATATTTAAAAATAGAATTTTGAATAAAATATATTATTTATTCATATATAAGTTGTGTTTAAATAAATATTAAATATTATAATAAAATTACTGCCTGTACATGTCTATCAATATTATTGTAGAAATAAAAAAATTGGTAATGTCTTTAAAACAACTTAATACATTAAGTATAGTATCAGTACAAAATTACAAATGCATTCAAATTACATTGTTAAGGCCTTCAACAAATTTCAAATAATTTTCATGCCGGTCGGCATAATTGTCTCCATCCATTCGCCTCTCGTTGATGATTTTCTTTTCATGGGTCAAAACAACATTAAATAGTATACAGGTGTAAATACGATTAACGTCATATCTCCCAATTTTCGCCTGCTTCTGTCTCAATTCATCAAAATTGCAATTTTTACATGATATCTTTGTCAAAGCTCCTTTATGACGGACCAAACCAAAATGGTCATACATAATGATTATGATCTCATGTATGAGAAATCTTCTATAATACCATAAAGTCTCGTGGTACTTATAAAAACGTATCAACTCATCATTGGCCACCAAAGCATGAAACAAAATCTCAATCTTTCTGCACAATTTCACATAATTCACTTCACAGTTACAATTTCTATTAGAATATGCAAGAAGGAGGCTCATTATGTTTTTTTCTGAATACATCAAAAGGTTTTCCTCGGAGGCTTGAACCGTTGAATCTTTAGGAAAATTAGATGCCAGAAATCTAACAAAAACTTCACGGAAATTAGTATTCAATGTCGATTCCAATATCTTCCAATCTTTATCGCTTAGATCATAAATATTTTTTAAACAGAATTCATGATAGTGAAAACAACTAAAGTCCGAAACATGTTTGGCAGTCCATTTTTCTGAAAAATGATACTCCTTAATGTACAAAGAATTAATATCAAAGTTAATTGTCATATTTCTTAAGGTATTAAGTAGCCACATGCGATGATTCCAACTATGGTAGTTATTGGGGCTTTTATCAGAGGCCAAGTTGCAAATTATAAGCTCATCATTTATCAGAGTTTCGATAGAGTTGTTTTGATGGTCGTCTGAAAAGAAAACATAGATGGTGTATCAGAATTGCCATTAAGGGTTTTTGTCAAAAATAATTGATTTAATTTAATTATTTATAGTAAATTTACCTTGTAAAATAGATTTCAAAAGCCACCTTCTGTACCCAAAAGCTTCATTACTCTTTGGTTTTCTTGATAAAATCAATCTTGTAAAATGCAGTTCATTATTTTTATTTAAAGAGGATTGTAAAACCAAATCTCGCCTTTTATTCCACAATGTACTAATTTCTGGATTTAAAAGCAATGTTACATTTAGAAGTCGTATAACGCGATCAAAGTCTACCGTTGATATCCTATTATTAATTTTTTTAGGCTTTACACAGAACTTATTCATTAGCTCAGAATAACAATACATATAAACGTGTTTCACACACCAGGACTCCAGCCCTAAGCAGTTTTCCAAATGCAGTACCGGTGATTTATTTTGATAATTTACTTCCACAGGAACAACATCGAAAGCATACCTGAAAACAAAATGCGCATAATTCAATTATAAAAGTAGAGCTATTGAACTTTTGCCAGTTTTTATTACTTACAAATCTGGAATTTTAGCGAGAACATTATGTAGGTCTTTAATAATTTTTTCCACCAAAGCAAAATTATCTTCGTCCATAGTGAAATAGACAGTCAAGGAATAGTAAATGCTCATAAGATTATAAACATATATGATAATAAACAAGCTTTAGGTGCCAAATATATATCGTACTTCATCCATTGTTCTTTTCACTTTATTTTTGCTTATTAATTGTTTCAATTTCGACAACAAAATCAACTTGGCAGATTCGATGTTTATTGTTTATTGCTGTCAACTTGTCACTTGTCAATGGCCACATTGTCTCTGATCCAGCACTATTGCTATTTTTTAGATATTGGTGTTTCAAGCTTCAGAACCATATTATTAATAAAAACATGTCGGACTTTGCATGTCGGAATAATATCATGTAACCCAGACAAAAAAAATAAAGGAAATATTTAAGAATCACACGTAATATAAATAATGTATCTCATAAACAATTTAACATAAAAGTATTTTATACATCTACCATAAGGCTATCGAATAACTTGTATCGATACAGAAATTTTGTTACCCTTTTCAAATTGTACAATGTTTTAGTAATGTACTGAAACGTGGTACATATTATCCTAAAAATATAGTCTTTTTTTTTTAATTTATTCAACAGACAAAAAATAGTATTGGATGACGTTGATGTTGTCTACATCATTTGTCAGTGTCAGAAAGTAATTTTTAGAATTTAAGTCTAAACATAGGTGAAAAAAGGTTTTTGTATTTTTCGCTATAAATAGTGTCAAAATTAATTTGATCTATAAAATATCTATACTATTATGAATTAAGTGGTTAATATTCCAAAAAAAATGGTACTTATTTTTTATATTTGCTATGTACAATACCAGTTCATTAAATAATAAAGTTCCTGTTTTAATTACAGAGTGCACTTTTCAATTTTCAAAGTTTACTCTCCGTGATACTACTTTTAATATGCACATGTGCCTACTTGAGGTCATTTTTCCCGAGTCTAATGGATCGTAACAAAACTGGGTATGTTTATAAATTTAGTAACATCTTAAGAAATACAACCGATAACGTTAGTTTTTAAGATAGACACAGGTTTGGTTGAGATGAGTACGATCTTATATTAATTTCGAACATTTTTGTATTAATGTACTTAAAATTTACTATTATGTTTGGAAGTTATCTGCAGTAAAAACCTTGATATTCAACTTCACTTGTTGATTGATGTTGGACACATGTCTTGTTAGAAAATCTTGCGTTAATCAATGATGTTTCTCATCCATTCAAATAGTAGAATACTGAGGTTGAGTCATTGAGAAATCTAAAATTCTTACTATCTTAACAATTAGATGAGTCTACCAAGTATAGTTAAGTCTTAAAACAAAAATAATAATGGCACATCAAGAACAATTATAAAACAAATTAAGACATTTAAATGTGCACTTGTGTCATTTTAGAAGCTAACAATTTATTTAATAAAATTGTTGTTAAAGTATAAAAACCATTATCTCACTTTGTTGTAATATACATATTATTATCTAAATGAAATTAATCTACTTATTGAGATGGTTACAACAATTAATTAATTATCAAGGACAATTGGTATGTTATGAGGCTGCTGAAAGATTAAAATTATTTAAATTTTATTGTTGTAGTAAATTCTAAGATCTTAAGCTTACAAAATTTATGCTATTTTAAATTGTCACAAATGAACCTAAGTAATAAAATAATTTAAATTCTGTTAAATTTCAATAAGTATTAATAGTTGGGATAAAATTATAAATCTTTTTTTATTTATTTTAGTTCTATTGGCCAGTGTTCTTACATTTTTAGTTACTCAGTTTACTTTTTACTTATTTATTTTATTGTATGAGTTTGTTAAAATCCATTCTATTATCTATTAATAAAGTGATCTTTAAAAATTTATTTTAGGTTTTTTGTACATTAATTGAGAAGCTTACTTATGTTTTATATAATTTATGTTTCTTTCAGATTCCTCGGCACTTTCTGGAAATGTGCTAGAATTGGTGAAAGAAAATCTCCATATGTGGCAACCTGCTGTATTATAATGGCCTTCACTATACTGTTCCTGACATAAATTATATGGTTTTATTGTATTTATAATTCCCGCTGATCAACATAATAAACAAACACTATTTTAATATATTTTATTTATATTATAAACCATCGTTTCTAGCACAGATAAAAATTCAATGAAAAACAGTACATACTAGTATTACAATGTAATATAGATATTAAAACAGTCACAAAAATTCAACACTAAACATTATAACTTCAAGGGATACATAATAATATGACAAAAACAAATATATAAATATTATTATAGGTAAAACTAATTTAGCATTAACATATTGGCTGAAAATTGTGGCCTAAATTTTCTGGTAAAGAAAAAAAGCATACATATATTACTTGACAAATTAATAATAAATTATTAAGAAAATATTTTTTTTCTAAATAAAGTTATAATGTTAACAAAATGTCATGAATGATTTTAACATATGATGTTAATGTCTAGTAGAGCATTAATCAGTCTAGTCATTACAGCTAACAGTTACGCACATCTACAGCTACAAGCTATTGCTAAATAAATCATGTATAAAATTTGATGCATTCGTTTTCCTTAACGCTATTGTACATTAAAAGTATGGAATTATTAAACAAATATATGTACCAATCAATTCTATGTCTCCAAAGACCATTTATTTAAAAAATAATATCAAATTTATGAATCAAAAAAAATTGTGTTTAGAATTTGAAAAAAATATGTCAAGAACTTTATTTTAAAAATTAAATAAAAACTTCTAAATGATATTAAATATTTCAAAAGATAGTATGAACTCAATGAAAATATATATATATATCTAAAGAATCTATTGCAATATAAATTATAAAATATTGGTTTTCTTATTTGTGAAGAAAAAAAGCTAAGTGTATCAGTACATGGTCAAATACTTTTAAGACTTAATAAAAGAGGAGGTATTTTAAAGAAAGATTGGTTTGAGCGGTTAATCTAATATTTTAAGTACTTTGTAGTTTCTGTAAAAAAAAACATGCCAATCTGTTTCTGCATTCAAAAATAATAATACATAAACGAGGCGACAGTACTTAGCATATATGGCACAAAATAAATTCATAACTTGAGCAAGAATAATTAAAAACAAAAATAAACTTGAGACATTGACAGAACTTACATTCTGAAAATAAAGAGAGTGGCAACATTATAAAAAAGTAAAAAAAAATGTGATAAATGCAGTTTGTAGAATGTTAGTTTTAAAAATGCTGGAAGTATTTATCACAGAATAAATCGAAAGGTGCAGAAAGTGTTCTAATATCTGACTCCCATCACACTAAAATATTTTTGGTGTTTATCGACGATCGAATTAAACCTACAATAAACTACGTATACACTTACTCTAATAATAGCATGAGATATTAAAATATAAAATTGTAAATCAATACTTATGTGATGTAACAAATTGTATATTAGAACAGTTGTCACGCGTGAAGCGAGGTAAACAGTACAAAAGGGTCATACAAAAATTTCTTGCAAAAATTTACTATTTTTATAAAACATTCGTTAATATTGTACTCGCTTCTAAAAATTCCTTACATCGCCTACAGGATGTTAGCCGTATATCGTTGGTACGCCACTAAATAATCAATCAGTCGTCAATCACACTTACATGTACATTAAGATATCAAAATTTATAACTAAAACGATTACAAAATACACATCTCGCGTGTTTGAAGCCAATTGACCCGATATCGGTGTTTCAACGTACAGCCTAAGCTAAAATAATATACTAAGAATAAATACGCCTCTAACATAATCTACTAACACAGGCTAACACCGCAACTCAGTCCTCGCTTGTGATAACGTCACGAGACAAGAACAAAGTTATGTACCTAGCCTGTATACTAACATACTATAAATAGGCAGTCACATAAATGTCCAATAAACATATATATGTAAGTATAATAATAACGAATACACGTTTGGCACTACAAGGCTCTCGATACGTTGTTGTCTGTATTCGTTGAAATAAACATAAAGCTAAGAATGACTACACAAATACGACTAATTCAGTCTCGCTATGGAGAACTACCTGCACTGTACGGCCTCAGTTTACCCTGAAACAAAAATGAATTATTTAAGAAGATAAAAATTGTTAGATAAAATTTGGTATATATTCACATAAATCATATTTTATATACCCATAAATATATTTAGGAAAGATATAACTGGTGTAGATATATAAAAAAATGATTGTACGTGGAGTTCCTCCACGCGGAAGGAATGAAACTACGTAATGCTGAATTGAACATATGAAGGGAAAGAAATTGATTTTTAAGGAGTATTCTGTGTTACTTTAAGGCAAACTTTTTTAACATTACTTGCAAGTCACAATTGATTGCAAGCATTCGAGCATCGAACATTACCTCTCGCTCTGTCTCTTTTTATAAACCTTTTTTATATACGGGAGGCCGTAATTTTTAACCTTTAACGCAACCTAGTCTGAAGTGTCATAAGAAGTTTCACTTCAATAATAATTAAAATTTTCTCACCTGTGCTATTTAAAGGCGTGTCCTATCTGATCATCTCGAGGTATTTATGCTTGTGCTTCGTGAGCATTTCCGTTACTGTAACCAACTTCCTGATGGCTGTCTGGGTCTTGGCCAGATTCTGCAGTTCCGCCAAATGTGACACGCAGATGTGATGAATGGTTGCTAGCTCCTTTGCTACATATGGTACAATAAAAAAAAACCTAAGTCGGATCCTTCATACTTAATGAATATACAAATTATCCTAATAAATGATATTCGGCATAGTTATTCAACATGTCAAACTTTCGCAAATATATATATCTAATAAATTTACATTTTGTTTAGATTTTCATTTATGTAATAAAAATTACTAACTAACATTTTTGAGATCAGACAAAGTTTTGAGTAATCATTTTTCGATAATATTAATTATTAGTTAACATACCTATGTCAAAATTATTGTTTGAATTCGGTGGCGGGTTGCCGGGGTCTTGTACTGAACTCAACTGGTCCAAAAACACAACCATACGCTCTTTGTTTTTCAGTATAAATGGATTCACCACTTCCATGTACGGCTCCTTAAATTATAAATATGATGAATTATATTTTAAGCGAAATATATACATAATAAATATGTGAAATTTTAAAAAAATGTAATGTTTTTGTTAAAAGGGCTAATGTAACATAGCTAGTCATCGCAATTTCGTAAGACTAAAGCAGTTTTATACATTTTATCAAAAAGTGCACAAAAATCGTTAATACTTTTAATTTTTTATCGAAAACTATAACTTAATTTACTCATAAACAAAATTTTCACTATCCTAACTGACAGAATTTATAATTGTATATAAAATGTTGAACTTAATATTAATCAAAATTATCTTAAATCAAATAATACCTTAGCCCCGAATTCAATGAGATTTGCGAGATTCTGCAGACATTTAGCCACCATCAGTAACGAGCGTTGTGCGTGAGGCGGCGGCGCTGACGTCACCAGGCCCCACGAACGAGGCTCAACTAACGCAGGGCAGATCAGGCGCAGGAAGATAAATCCTGGAATGATAATAAACTATTATAAATAATTCTTACAAAACCAAAAATATAAGAACTACTATGTAGTGTTTATTATGATGGTAACGGTTATATTGTAAGTTTTAAGCCCTAGATAATCGCAAAAAAACAAATAATACTTATAATTTACTAACAAGTATATTTCACACGACGGTTTTGTAGTTTGTATTTCTTTTTATTAATTTAGTACATTCGCGTATTATGGATTATATCACAGTAAAATATGAAAAATCCTTTAATATATCTATATATATAAAAGAAAGTCGTGTTAGTGACTGCACTTATAACCAAAGAACGGCTAAACCGATTTAGCTGAAAATTGGCAGGGAGGTAGTTTAGAACCAGGAAATTGCAATAGGATTCTTTTTATCCCGTTCGACAGCATTCCCGTGGGACTTGATATGAAACGTCAGTCACTATAAAACGTGGAATAACACAATTAACAGCTATGCAATTGACGTATAATGACAGATATGTAATGACGTATGGATGACAATTAGATATTTGTAAGAAATCTACTATATGAAAATAAAAATAATTAGGTATTGTGTTTGTAGTTTGAACTCTTAAAACCATTTAGTATTTGCGGGATAAATTTAGAAAATCATTGTTTTTCACATGGGCAGTTATATTTTGCGTGTTCACGAGTTTGGAAACCATACGCTTTATTTGTGTTAAAGTTAGACCAAAAAACAAAAAATGTGGTTTACAAAGGAGCACTTCAGTGAAACGGATAATTTGCGGACACGTATAACGCTTCGATTCGGTATCTACTTTGGATTCACTTTCATTTACTTAGAGAAGTTCAACTAAATAACACTTCATTTTTGTAATCGAAATGAATTCATTACTGTTGTGAAATGAAATAAAAATTTTCCTTTTCAAATACAAAACAAAAAAATTCTTCATCTTTTAATCACCAAACGACATGTTACATAAAAGCCTTCTGGTGGCGAAACGGAGTTCGCCGGGTTTACTAGTTTCTATTAAAACTATGTTGAAATATTGATACATAAAAGTCCTATTAATGACTTCATTAAAAATATTTATAGGAAATGATATTTGCTTTCATAAATAGTCATAAAACAATTTGAATGATTAAACGTTCAATTTTATAATTAGGTCATTTTAAATAACATCCAATTAAATGTTGGTAACACTTATGCAATTATGTTTTTAACTAGAATCATGTTTTAAATCATAGTAACCACTTTCATTCCTCTTTATAGTAGAATACAAAACTTCTTTACAAAATATATTAGCGCATATAACAGAAGTACGAAGTGCAAGTTAGTCACCACTATTATTATATGCTACTTCTGAGCTCAACAGTGAGATATAGGAACACTTAAAAATACCTTCGCCATGAAAACCCGAGCAATTCTTTAACAAATAGCTAATTTTATATGGAGAAGAATATATTTATATCTTACCAGATACAACCCTAGTCCTTACGAATCGTTCGTTCGGCCACTTCGCTACAGCCGCTCGTTGCAAACAACCGCACAGATAGCGTATAGGACGGGGACACGCCTCCGGGGACGTGAAGATTGATAGTGTTATCTGTGGTTATAGAACATATATCATTGGATTGAAAATTGTGACTATATAGACATTATTAATTGAATTTAGACTTAAGTCGAAAATGCTATAAGCAATAGGATAATCAAAAAAATATAACAAAACGAAAATATTTTCTTAGTACTATAAATAAACTTAAAATCTTAGATTATATATTCTGTTCTACTGTCCAATACAGTATTTATTCTAGATAATAACTCAATGTGATCAAATTATATTATTCTTTATATACATATATTATATTGTTATAATAAATTCTTATTATAAACACCTGGTCGAGTATCATCAACAGGAACTCAGCGTTGTTACAAGCATCATCCGGTGAGTCCATCTTTGTAGGATTCAACTCAGCTGACTGTTTTGAATCTATCAACTTCTGTACCGTCTCCGCTATAGCAGCCTGTAATAATTATATTAAACATTATAAAAATCATAGAACAAATAATTTAAACTTAAGTTGAGACTATGTAAAATTATAAATTTTTTAATTCAAATTAACTATAATAAATGCAGAATTCAAGAAACATCTCAACACTTTTCTTTACTTTGATAAAAATTAAAAATATTATAAAAATCTATATAGAGCCGTCAAAGAATTAAAGTACCAAAATTCGTATATTAAAGAGCTGATAGATGAAATATAATTCATCAACACAAGCAATATTTGGATTAGGAACATAGGCATACAAAAGGAACAAATTTATAAGATAATAAAGAAAATATTGCCTTTATTATACACAATACTACTGTTTCGAGACTTTTTACTATAATCTGTGTTAATGTTTCATTAGCCAACCTGTAGGAATGGCTTGCATAGTGCATGCATGAACTCATCGAGTACTGCGGTTGCAAGGGAGGCGGCTCGGAACAATGCTCGGTGATCAGCCTCGCGAGATACTTCAGCCGCTGACAATTCACGAGCTAGCTCCGCCCCGCGGCCGCACTCGGAGAACGCGTGTAATACCGCTGAGGAAATAACATACATTTTTATATACAAGGTAAAAGCATGTATTATCTAACTAGACAAGGATACCTTATACCTTGGAACTCCAAGGTATATTTTGATCACAGAGATATGAAATTTCTTTAACTTGATAGTTCAGGATATATTTTCATACAAATATAAAATATTGATAAAAAGCAGGTAATATGTTGGTGTTCTTACATTGATTTTTAGAATTGATAGTATTTAATACTAAATATGTATATTATAGAAGTTGTAGAGCCTAGCTGTGGTCAACTAACTACAGCTCGAGCATGGATTGGCTCAACTAGGGAAGTACCACCCTCTTACAGAAGATTTGGGTTAAGAAGCCTTTAATGGCTGCGTTTCTTCCTATGTGTGAGAGAACCGATTGTCCTTTCCTTGTTCCCACCATTTCCTTTATTTTCCTCACTCCCACCTCTTCCTCTTCCTCCACAAACAAAGTTGTCAACGCATCCACAACATGTTTTATGTCCATGGGCGACAATGACTACTGCCTATCAACTAGGCTGTCTGCTCATTTCTAACATTAAAAGAAATAGTGTATGTACATGTAGCCAAAGGTTGTCTGTCCGTGCGACAGAGATCAGCCAGCGCCTTGACGGCCGGCAAGCCGGGCTCGAGGAGAAGCTGACGTAATGGGTTGTACTCCTCACGAGGCATCACCAGCTCTTGCATGTATCTATATAAAGAAATTATATTACTACAACTTTCGGATAACACGAGAAAAATTAAAAAAATATCATTAACATTTAATCACTTTTTTTTAAATCTATGTTTCCACAGATAGTAGTACTTTTTTTTAATCTTCTTCTATTATCTGTTACATATGAATTGTCTTGTAAGAAAAGGTCTTAATTATCGCGTTTTCAATTTATTTTGCCCCAAAATTAACCAATCTAAACTAGTGCTCCTAATATACCTGACGTAATATCCTCTTTACGACTTTTTGTTATATGCAAAAAGGTAACACACTTAAAAATCCTGTTGTTCATATATTTTGTTTGGGAAAAATGTAATGCTAAAAAAAGCATTACCTTATACGAAGTCTCAAGGAACCCCACTCGCCAATAGGCGTCATTCCCGCAAGCGGATACCATTCTTCTACTTCTTCACCATTAGCCAAATTTGCAAGTTCAATAGTAAGTTCAGCTACCTGAAACACGTACAATATATCGTAAAATATGTCCTTGAAATATAAACATTAAAAAGAAGACCAAACATACTTCTGATTCTTTCCCTCTCTTTCCGGTATTGTGTACGGTGATGGTAAACGATGTTACATCCGGTGGTACGTCACTGAAACGAAATTACAAATAATTTAGTTCAAATAAATAGATATATTGCACTTTAGTATAATGTTACTTCATCTTTACCAAGATAGTTGCAGGTTCAATTTAGTTACATAAAATATTTATACTACAAATTTTCATAATAAATTCCAATATCACACACACATACTATAAAACACTTACATACATATTTCATGATTTATTACAGGTTATTTACAAAAATTATCTTGTTTGGTGGTCTTAATACAAACACAACATAATGGTACTAACTCGAAAACAAACTCATCATCCCAGTGCGGGTCGGGCGAAGGTCTGGCCCTAGTGCGTGCTACGGGCGCGGCTCCTAACGCGAGACGCAGGTAAGGCCGCGGGGCGAGCCTAGCGGGCAGACGGTGAGCGGTCACACAACGGACGCGGAGAGCACGCAGCCACACTACACGAGCCACCTGTAGATATTACATAATACAGTTTAGATTTAAAACAAATAGGATTAAAGACTAGAATTGCGTTACATGTTAAGTACAAATTTTACATGAAATGTTAATGTTTATTAAAACAAAATATTTATGTAACAAAACATACATTATGGAAATTAAATTTGTTCAGATATTTCATATTTAGCATACATTTCTTAGCCAAGAGACCTGTGCTAAGTGTTCATACATGGTTGTCTGTGTATATTTGTTTATCAGATATTAACAACGGATATTCATTTCAATAAAGTAAACATGTAGTAACATTTTAAGAATTGTTTAAAACAAAGAAATTTTATCCTTAGTGACTTAATAACATTGTATTAGAAACTTATACATCAAGATTTACTGATAAAATCATTACAACTTTTATTTTAACTAATCTAACATGTCTATGTAGTTATTTAACTTGGTTTTCCAACCTTGCAATGATGTCTAGCCTGTTGTGGTACACACAGCGGTCTCAATGCTTCAAGCCAGGCTCTTAATTCTCCGGCTGATGCAGCGGCCAAGAAGGTATGAGTAGAGAGGCAAGGCAACGCACGCTCTACTAATTGGAAACAAAACTCACGCTCCCATAGAGACTCGTGCACCTGGAAAAATTTAAAAGCTGAGTATCAAAATGATAGATTAAGTATTTTTTAAATGTACATATATATGTATACGATTTAAAATTATCTAAACTGCTATACTGACAATTATGTTCAACTTGCTAGACTTATATTTTCAATATTGGTCTTAAATTAATATCAAATTTATACTAAATAAAATAATTATAGTTGGTAAAAGGTAAATAATTTTAAATATAGTTTAATCAAATGTCTGCCACTTATTGTTGTAGAACTGCAGATGCAAAAATCACGTCTCTATATAAATATCATATTTTTTCAACATTTATCTGTCTTTCATAGTCCTTTAATACTTTATTTGGATAATTAATATTCTTATTATACATTTAGCATTGAATTTTCATCATATTTTAACATAACACACCTGGTATAAGTAAGCACATGACAAATCAATAAGTCCTTTTGGTTTGGTACGTTTTGGCGAGTCATAGAAATACAAATGTGTATCGGTTCCTTCTTGCAAGAGGACAAAGTACAGCGCTTTCCACTTCTTCGCGCCTTTATCTGATTTCTTGTGTAGATAACCTTGATGTTTGATACCCTTCATCTTCTTTAAGCCAATCTGATCCCTGCATTCTCTTAGAGTCGCGTAGATCTTCTCCGCTGCCGCTCCTGTAGTGTTCTGTTGCGGCTCTATCACGTGACCTTCGGCGATCAACTGAAACGTATAGAGGGATTAATTAAAGGGTAGTTCTAACAGTAAACAGAGCATCACAATGATATACTCAGAAAACACCAATTGCAATTTCTAAACATTATTAAAAAAAGCTAGAATGAAATAATGCCTGGTGGTAATCGATAGTCCCCCTACTACATATATGTATCTAACATGTATATAATCAACAGCGTTAAAAAGATGTTCTTCAGGTACAAAAGTTCTATAAATTAAGTTAATTGAGGTTACATGAAAAAAATACTTAATGGATAGGCCCTTAGTAAATAAACGAGCCTAACACGAAATAGTAAGGAATTAAAAATATTTTAGTTTAGCTAGTATTTGTATTGATAAGTAGAACTTCTTTTTCATGTCCTGACCCCAAAATTACTAATTAAAATTGCGCGCTACGTGTTACTTGAATTTTCATAATTGCAAGATTCTAAAATTCGTAACTTCTAGCTTTAAACTGCTTTTTGTTAGTTACATACATTCGTTTTTAACAAATATACAGACAACATTTAAAAATAATTGTTAAAATTTATTCCAGTGCCAATTCTTAACTTTTATTTAATATTTATTTTCTTTAGTGTTCATACACTACATATACATACATACACGTAATATATATGAATGTCACAATCTTCTATACTCACAGGTTGTCCCAAAGTATGTCCTTCCACAATCTGTTCCTTCCTATACCTGTTGATGACCGCGTCAAGACATTCGAAGGTCCTGCCTCCCATCAAGTACCTCACACCCTTCTTCTCTATCCTGAACCTCTGGATCTGATTGTTGATGTGGAAGAATAAGGAGTAATCTCCGGGGGAATTGTCTGAAGGCCTATAAGAATTCAAAATAATCATTCTCATCAGCCTATCAGAGCCCACTGCTGAGCAAAGGCCTCTTCTCACATGAGGTTTGAGCATTAATCACCACGCTTGCTCAAGGGTACCTAGAGTTATAATTTCAATAATTTGAAATTATAAGTCTAGGTTTTCTAACGATTTTTTCCTTCACCGTTTGTCAGTGGTGTCTAAATACTCTTAGAAAGTATGTATAACGCGGAAAAATCTCATTGGTATTTGCCAGGTTTGGAACCCGCGCCTTCGTGTACGAGAGGCGGGTCTTTAACTTCTAGGCTACCATGACACACATTTATATAATTTATTTTATATAAATCATACCAATAATAGACCTTTGTTTGTTTATTTATTGAAGGAAAACACTATAAATACATTAGAGTAAACAATTCTAAATGTAACTAACCTGACAAGAAAGCTCCCTGGTCCAGCCTTGACCAGCATATCAACGGCTTCACTCTTGGTGCAATTGGGATGAAACCAGGAGAATACGGTGTTTGGATCGATGGATGGGTCGAGGTCCTCAACCAACTCCCTAAAAATCATTCCTTGCTCACCCGTCCTACAACACACATTGTATCATGTATTAATCAATTATTATCCTGATAGCAAATTTTCTCGAAGCTTCTTGCGTAAAATGGTGCAAAGAATTAACAGGAAGATATAATTTATTGAAGTGAAGACGGAAGAAGAGAGCACAGATGTGTGTGCAGATTTGAGCAAGTGTTTTATTTCTATCATAGCTAGGTAGATTTTATCTCAGAAAGTTTTATTTCGGGTGTCAGTGTTGTTGTGTGTGTTATTATTGCACCACCTCTTAAAGAAAAAACATTAAAGCATGCGTCCGAAAAATATGTGATAATTATTTTAAATATAAAAGTATATTATCCGTGCATCGGAATTTTACGCAAATATAAACATTTGATGCTAAGAAATAGTACTAATAAGTAAAATTGAAATCAAACCACCTTTAGATAAAAAAAAAAACATTCAAAAAAGTTTGAAAAAGTAATTAGTTATTTTAGTCAAAATGAAATATTTAAATAATAAAAACATCTTAATGACAAAACATTGTTATTCACCCTTAAAAGTATAAATTGTTTAAAGTACATATTAATTTGTGAGGAAAACTTTAACATCTTATGTAGATAACACTTCATTAATTGGGTTTTTGAATTATTATTTTTTTTGTGATAAATGGAAAGATCATATATAAGTTTAATAACAAAACTATTTTTATTTTATTTTTTTTTGCAATATTTAAAAAGTTATTTCAAAATAAAAATTAAATTTTAAATTCAGTACCGAAGACAAGCCGACAGCTCGTGAATAAACCCGAGCGCGTGTGACGTCACAATGTTAGTTTTTGCTCATTGTAGCATACAGAGATATAATAATTAGTACAGTGTTTTGAGTTTTTATCTAGTAAATTCTGTTGGCATTGTTAAATAATCAAAAGTTTTGTACCATTATGTACAAAGACTACAAAAACAACTCCTGAAAAAATGTTTTTAAATGTTCCACAAGACGAAAAAACGTCGAAAGAAATGGTTTCAAGCAGTGCATCGAGATTATTCAAAAACAAAATCATTTTTTTTTTGTTGTGAAGATCATTTCGTTGTAAGTTTTCATAATAGTATTGTTATTAATTATTATTTATCTAAGTGTATAAATCGAATAAGTATAGTTCAATAATTAATTTTTTTACCTGGGCTCCAAATCATAACCTTTAGAATCGTAGCATTAAAAAATTTTAATTGATAATTCAAAGCGATTAAATAGTAAATCTATATATATGTTTGTCTAATAATTGGACTTCAATTAATAGATATTTTCATAATTTTATAACATTCTAGGTTCTGTATCAGACTACATTTAAATTTTTAAAGTACATATATGTTATTTTGGTTTTTTTATAATGTTATAATAACATTTTATTAATAATGATTTAATGAAATAATTATTAATTATATTTAATAGAGAATAAATACTAATTTTCATTTAGAATAGTATTTTTTGACAGACTTACCTTGATGTCTTAGCACCTCGAACTTCAGCAAAATTAAACCGCACTTTTTAAAAAATTAGTTATCATAAAAATATATTAACATCAGGAATATTATCCGATTTTGCTTTTATAAATCCTTTATCACACATAGTCGAAATAAACTTTTCAAATCGTTTTTCACTAATAAATTTCAGATATTTTTATCAAGTTAAAGATAATAGCCATAAACACTGTACTATTATGAAATTGCTTTAACATTATGACGTCACAAGTATGCTGACCAATCATGGCGCGTTTACAGTCACGTGATATATTTTTGAATTTTATCAATTTTTAATTGTTTATAATTAATTTAAAAAATATATTTCAAGTTTTTTGCATTAAAAATCCAATATAATTAATAATAAAGTTTTAAAATACATAAAAAAAATCAATACTTTTTTTTTTTCAAAAACCCAATTAAAGCATACTGAAACATTGTTTATATTGTTAGTCAAAATATACTAATATTTGCCTTCAACTTCTGCAAACTTTTGTGTTCTTGAATAATTTATAATCCCTACTAAATACTAATATTATAAATGCGAAAGTAACTCTGTCTGTCTGTTACGCTTTCACACCTAAACCACTGAACTGATTTTAATGAAAATTTATCAAATTAGGTACAGAGATAGAGTTCACCTTGAGAAAGAACAGGATAGTTTTTATCACAGACTTTTGAAAGGTTCTCTAGGAAACGCTATATAACCGAACTCCACGCGGGCGAAGCTGCGGGCGGAAAGCTAGTATCTTATATTTATATATATACAAACTATAATAAATAACTATAATTAATGTTAATATTTATTCAAACTTTAATTACAACAGTATAGAAGCAACGAGACCACAGACAAACAAACCTACTTTGCATTTAACTCATGAGTGTTATGATTATATTGTCTAGTTCAGTACCTAATATAGGGGACTTTGTGGTCACCCTACCTTGACAGTTCTACTTGACCTGCCATGACCTCATGGGTAATTATTAAGAATGGGAATCACAAGACCAGTTTAAAAATAACCAAGTACATACTCGTTTCAAAATAACAGTTGTTAATTAATAGAGTTAATTCGTTGGTGTTTAAGGAAAATAATTAAATTACTTGTAAAAATTATATTGAGAACTAAATTTTACTGCCCACTTTGTCTGTGTATACGAAATTATCTAATGAAGTTTTCCATTTAGATAATTATTATAACTTTTACTCTAAATTTTCCCTTACTTAAACAGAATATTTCACCTATTGTAAAATTCGATAGTATTTACTTGATCAAACACAACTTCCGTATTTTCAACATCAATCACATAAAACGTTAACTTCAGTTTATTATTGTATTGAACAAATAGTAATTTAAAACAACGTCTTAATATAAAAAGTGAGATAGTTGAAATAAAAGTAAAACCTACGTGATTACTGTCAACTTAAAACTTATGAGGCTTTACAAGTTGAAGCGGTACAATACAAAACTATTGATTCGAAACACAAGGCTTCTTCATATATTGTATGCCCTAAAGAATGTACAGGGTGCTCGCCGACGAACAGATTACTGTTTAAATGATACCGATAAAGCGTAAACCGTCTAGACTTAAATCCATTTATTCTTAATTAACTCATGCTAAAAACCCTTTGTTATATATTACAATTTACAATGAATACGTGGTAATTTATTTGTTTAGAAATATCATAATATCATTAAAATCAAGATGAGTGAAAACAGGCAAAAATCAATCCATAAATTATTTATGGGATCTAGCATTTTCGCAAATGTTCATTCAAATAAAACGAAAAGTATTAGTTTTATTTCAATAAATTAATGACATAAAAAATATATAAACATTTATTTGCAATAAACAAATAAATTTAGTACTGCAAATGTTTAAAAAATGAAAATAACGGTCAGCACTATTAATAATATAGAATACGAAAAAAGTATGAGTGTGTATGAACTATTGTAATTAAATTCTAAAATCAAATAAGTTATGTACGAAAAAATGTTTTTTTTACACAACTCTTAAATCTATGCAACGTTCGAAAACTTCAAATAAAAAGCAGAGTCCATGTTCAAAATCAATGTTACACCAAATTAAGTCATATAAAAAGGAAACTTTAATTTACTTCGTTTTCTTACGACAGATTAAAATTATATCGAAAAATTCAATTAAAGTAAACTATGAACCTCATAATTTCACTATCAGCCTTGAAAGGCACTCAATTACGAAGCTAATTAGAGGAAAACTAAGTATGTGTCACAACCAAGGTTTAATTATAAACATACATATTATGTATAATAATATAAAATATATAACACCACATTAGATGTAAAACAGTTAAAAATTAACGAATAAATATTATAAGTACGAGAATTTGTAATGATATATAAATATTTGTTGTTCTTTCACACAAAAACTGCTAAGCGGATTTTGGTGAAACTTTACACTAATGTTGGTTAGACAACAGAATAGGACTTAGGGTATAATTTATTCAGAAATTCTGTGCCGTTTTAGAAAAGTTTGCAAAGACTAGTCTATTAATCAACACAAAGATTATATTTCATATATCCTGTTTCAAAACATCAGAAAGATATGATCTATTAATTAAATGCATGTTATGCTTGTTAAACATTTAGGTAAAATGATTTAATTTCTGTAATTTTGCTAACATAGACATTATAAATGATTATTAAAAGCACAACACATGCTATTAATGCAGTATAACATTCTTGCAACATGATGATTCAAACTAAGTTTTGCATGTTCATGAGATCTCATTTGCTTTGATAGTTGAAAGCACAACATAATGCAACATATAATTGTTCATTGTTAACTATTACTTAGAGTAATTGACACTGTAATTTTGATATAAAGTATTCTTTATGACTGCATTATTGTTCATAGCACTTTAAGTTTTTAATTATGAAACATTCTTTGTGTTGAATAAATATTTTTCATATGCATATTCCCATTTAAAATATAAGTATCAATGTTTTAACTAAAACTTTTATGACATAGAAACAGATTTACAGTTTATGAAATTCCTTTATGCGTTATTATTTCACAGATAAAATGAGTAATGTAAATATTTTAAGACTTTTAAGTATGAGGTCTCATTTGAGTCATAATCACCTGAGTATGTGATGTTAAGAATTGAGTGAGTTTTATATATCTATTGAGATAATTTACAGTTTTATTAGTCTCTCTAATAATTCTATTGAACTAAATAAAACTACATATTTTTATTAATATACTGACATTCTTTTATAAAAACTGTACTACACTGTATTTTAAAATTAAAAATAATTTATTTTTTATACATTGCATACATTCTGAGTATATTTTATAGGATTTATCTAGGCTGCTGATGTCTAAAATTATTACTAACACACATTCAGTTGCATCATTCAGATTTAACTCACATTATTTATTTTTTAAGATTTTAACCTAATTTCCTTCTCAGATAGTAAAAATATGGTTTAAACAAAAAACTATGCAGACAAACAAGATATTGATAAAATATGCACTTACCGATGTGCAGTGACCCACAACCAGCCATCACCCATATCATTATGCACAAAGAAGATGTCACCCTTTTGGAAAGTTAATTCATCAGTGTCCGGCATTTTGGTGTATGGCAGAATGGCCACAACTCTCTAAAAACAATAACGAAATATAAAAATCTATTTAATATTACTATATAAGAAATATTTAATGTTTTGATGATATAATGTAACATAAAATAAGTATAGAATACCTTTTTATCATTAACAGGTTCAGGAGGAGGCACCGGTTCAAGTAAACGCTCACGTTTTAACAAATCAGAGCAATGGCTATAAAAACCAACAAGCTCGGTCAAGGAGTCAAACTGACGACCACCGATGTAGTAATCACCGCATACTGCAGTTATTCTAATAAAACACAACACCAGTATAAATTTTCTCTACCATATACTTGTGTTAATAAGTTTTAAAGATTTTTGCGAGTACTCATTGAAATGAAACTAATATTTTCGGATTTTACTTCGCTTTTTTATTTTTGATTATAAAAAACATACTCCGACGTTTCGGCTACTTTTCAGCAACCATGATCACGGGCAGACGAAAAAAATATTAGTTTCATTTAAGTTTTAAATGTATTTAAATGGCAGTTCACAGTGTAAGTACCTGAAATGATTAATTCCAGTTCGTCCCAAATAACTTAACACATATGATCCTGGCTTACGATCACTTTCACGAACTGAAACAAAATTAAAGCTTCAATTCTTGTATAATTCATAGTAATTTTGCTAAAGTATATAAAAATAGAAATTAAATAAGACAAGAATAGATGAAATAATGAATAACTTAATAGTACTTTTTATAAAAGTCTTCATAATTTAAAATATTTTTTTAATGAATCCTTCAAAATGTTATTATATTAACCACTAATTATGTTTTGTGCAGACATTGTTATAGCACATGTTCTTATTTGCCACACAATAATGTATTTATCATATAAAAATACATTGGCAAGCTCATTGAAACTCATTAAAATATGTAGCAACTTGCATGACAATAGAGTACTTTTTATAGGAACTTTCCATTTTCATTGCTATTAAGAATGCAATGGGAAACATTTTTATTCATCTTTGTTAACATTTTGTAGTCATTATTAGAAGTAATTTATAACTAAGTGTATAACTTTCTTAATTAATAATAATCTTGATTGAAAGAGCTTCTTTAAGAACAAGTTTATACTTAAGAGTTTAAAAAATATATATGACTTACAAAATTACACTGTAAAGATATTTTAATCATACCTAAATAACTGCCATGTTTCCCAGCAGCCCAGAGACGTTCTTCTGATGTGTATCTGTCCAAACGACCATGATACCACTCCGTCTCAGGTGGAGCCAGAACTGCTTGACGTTCCCCTACATAAATACATTTAAAGTTTTTACTATAGTAGAATGGTCTACAGATTATAATGTTATAAACAATAAATAAGTATTATTAATAATACCATTAGTGCTTGGTCCATCAGCTTCATCTAATTCCAAATCTGCAGTTAATTCAGCAATATCACCACCCCCATCCTCGGATTCAGTAGACGGTGATCCCAGCTTATCCTTTATAGGGGGTCCTATAGGCGCTCCCATAGCTCGAATTAGATCAGCCATTTTATATAAAAATCGTAAATTTATGCAAGATTATTATAGTGTTTTAAAATACAATGATTGGTACATTATAAATCGACAATCGTCAATTTCTAAACGATATCTTAATGTTTACTATATAAACAAAATAAAATATAAGTCACAAATGCGGGTTTCACTCTTTATAATACTGGATTGTTTTAAATTACTTCCTACACACTATAAACAACATACGGATGCAAAATAACGTAAGCTAAACCGGATAAATGTTTAGTAATAAGTTTATTTAATCACATCTATACGCCCGTCCCATAATCGGTCTTTCAATCACAAATCACAATACACAGATGCAATGAAAATTGTGATTTAGAATTATTTTTGACATTATTATAATAACATTGCCATAATCAGATTAGTAAATACTAATATTCAGATATAGTATAATATTTTAGGTTTTTATGTAAGAGTACTGTATAGTAAGTTGAATATTATTAATTGGTATTCTGAAGATTAGTTGCGAAAGAAGAAAAATCATTTCAATAAATTGAAAACTTATTGAATCAAATTGTATAATGTAGTTAGTTGACAATAAATAAAACCCTACAGAACTTTCAAAACGTTAAAAAGATGAATATAATTTTAAACAATATATATCGACCAACTGAAGATAAATTCTTTTTAAGATAACTTTTTTTTAGGACATAATCCGTTCCTTATGAAAATATTTTGTATTGAATAGAAATTCTATCGACAAAGATTTAAAAATACTTGTTTTAAATCGAATTTTTATATTATAAGAATTTTATAATGTATATTTCCCTTTTCATTTTACTTTCCATGATTTTATAAAATTAGCACATGTGATTTTAAACGATGTATAAATTTAATGTACTTATTAAAATAATGTATAGTAAAACTTTATAAATGTTTAAAATTTAGAAATAATTTTAATTTGTCTGATATGCAAGTCATTGTCGGCAAAGATATTGGGATAGGATTGTCTATGGTTTACTTCTTTAAATACTGTGACTCTACAGGAAATCAATGTTATTAGTTTTTTCTCGAGACCGTGGTTATTCATTGTGATATTCAGTTTATACGTAGTTTCTAGAAAGTGTAAATTCTGTTTTTAATATAGAGTAAACAGTTATTAAAAGCGATATATAGATTAAGTTTATTTCCAAATTCAATTTTACTTGATAGGTAAGCATTATCCCTTAAAACTATTGCGCATACCATTTTTGCGTCACGAATCTGAATTTAGGACGACGCCATTTTGTGAACAACATCTTTGTTCTTTGTCTTAAATTCTTTTGACTTGATATTCATAAGATTAATATATGCCAAATTAAAAGTAAAATTTCCGTTTTACAGATATCAAAATGCAGATTTTTGTAAAAACGCTTACTGGAAAGACCATTACTTTGGAAGTCGAACCTTCCGATACCATTGAAAATGTTAAAGCTAAAATTCAAGACAAAGAGGGAATCCCACCAGATCAGCAACGATTGATCTTTGCAGGAAAACAATTAGAAGACGGACGTACTCTTTCCGATTACAACATTCAAAAAGAGTCTACTCTCCATCTTGTTTTGCGTCTTCGCGGAGGTATGCAAATCTTCGTCAAGACCTTGACTGGTAAAACCATCACCCTAGAAGTCGAACCTTCTGACACAATTGAGAATGTTAAGGCGAAAATCCAAGACAAAGAGGGTATCCCTCCTGATCAACAGCGTCTGATCTTTGCTGGTAAGCAGTTGGAAGACGGCCGTACACTTTCCGACTACAATATCCAGAAGGAATCTACACTCCATCTCGTTTTGCGTCTTCGCGGAGGTATGCAGATCTTTGTTAAAACCCTTACGGGTAAAACGATTACTTTAGAGGTGGAACCTTCTGATACTATTGAAAATGTGAAGGCTAAAATCCAAGACAAAGAGGGTATCCCCCCAGACCAACAACGTTTGATTTTCGCTGGTAAGCAGTTGGAAGATGGCCGTACACTTTCCGACTACAATATCCAAAAGGAATCTACACTCCATCTCGTACTCCGTCTGCGTGGTGGTATGCAGATCTTCGTTAAGACCTTGACTGGCAAAACCATCACCTTAGAAGTCGAGCCTTCCGACACCATAGAGAATGTAAAAGCGAAAATTCAAGATAAAGAAGGCATCCCTCCAGACCAACAGCGTCTTATCTTTGCTGGTAAGCAGTTGGAAGACGGCCGTACACTTTCCGACTACAATATACAAAAGGAATCTACACTCCATCTCGTACTCCGTCTGCGTGGTGGTATGCAGATCTTCGTCAAAACCTTGACTGGAAAGACCATTACTTTGGAAGTCGAACCTTCCGACACAATAGAGAATGTAAAGGCGAAAATCCAAGACAAGGAAGGTATCCCTCCTGACCAACAACGTCTTATCTTCGCCGGTAAGCAACTGGAAGACGGCCGTACTCTCTCAGATTATAACATCCAAAAGGAGTCTACCTTGCATTTAGTTCTCCGTCTCAGAGGCGGAATTTGAATAAACAATTATTAAATTAATATCCTTTGCAGTATTAATATTCTTTAATCAATTATTCAAATTCATGTAACCATTCCAATTTTGACATTCAATAAACGATTTCCTTCTGAACGACTTCCTTTTATTTTAATGTCATTTGCTCTTTTATTTTATTCCATAACACATTTATAACTAAAATCATACATTTCCAAATTTTTAGGGTATTTTTCTCTTGGTTTACCATTATACGTATATATTCAAGTTTTTATTTGGTTCTTGTAAGTTACGAAATTCTGGTTAACACATTTTTGTACACTGAATTATAATATCTAAGTAATTTTTTTGTTGAAAATCGAATTGTTGTAAACCTTACCAAAAAATAGAGAACATTATTTTTTATCTTAATGAAAGGTATTTCTGATATATGTATTGTTATAGATCTAAGTATAGAAAAAACTTTGCCTAATGAAGACATTAATAAAACAATTCAATAATTGTAACATTTTATTAGGAGGCGAAACGAGCAGAACTTCAGGATAAATTGTTATACAAATGAATGTCACATCTTTTAAACCGTCAAGTTTTAATATATTTTTGTATCTAACAAACACAGTAACATGAACAAGAATACATTTACCCAGTAATTACATCACACCAAAAGTGACTCGCGCCAATTGTTTAATTTGAATAAAACTATTTAATATTAAGTTTATTTCATATATCAAAAATTTTCCTTTTATTTAGATTAAATTAAAACAGTATTGGCTTGCGAGTCCTAACTTGATTCTATAGCAATGTTTGATTTATATTTTTATATATTTCATAAAATGGAACAAAGATTATTATCATATAATTAGGATAGTTTCATCATTCAGTGCCAAATAAAATTAGCAAATAAATGATAAATGAAGATAAGCATTTCGAACAATGATGTTTTAAATATAATAAGTGGGTAATATTAATATTGTGACTCTTGTTAAGACCATGTTAATAGTCTGTCAAGCGTCAGACATTACACATCAAAACATGATACCTTCATAACATCAAAGAATTTATTAATTGCTCAAAACACATTTAAGAGACACTTGAAGATAGAACAATTATTTAATTATGAACTTACATACATCTAACATTAGATCTAGGTATTGTCTTTTGTATGTGAGAAGTTATTTGGGTGAAGTAACATACTAATGGCAATAAGAAAAATACGCCAAATATTACCGCAACACCAATACATGATCACATGGACAGTGAAAATTTAATATCATAGTCGATAAGTGCATGCATTTATTATGAAAATACATTTAACAAGACCATTAATCAGAGACCATACAGTAAATTTCTAGTTTTGATATATTTATTTCATTAAAGTTATGCTAATAAATAAAATAAATCAATAAATTCTAATAACTGGATAGAAATTATAAAGAATTATCCATTAAGGATGCTGCACCAGCGGCACAAAGCCAAGTCTATCACAATGATATTATAATACACTGCTATAATAATTATTATAATTGCCAATAATACATCAAACATCAAAATGCCACAAACACCTGGCAAGATTCAACAACTTACATCCTTTACATTACATCAATACTCTCAATTCAGTTAAATACCCCCCAGATATAAAATCTAATCTCATAATTTTATCATAATTGTTTCTGCTTGAATACATCATAGTTTAGTTAGTTATAATTTAAACATGAACAAAATACCTTTATAGATTAATGAGGACTAAACATTTTCATATATGTATATTTTTTCTATTATTGTATACAGTCATTTTCACATCATTCTTTGCCGGTCCTTAAATATAAATAAAAAAATAATAATTAATGACTAAAAAAATTAAAATATAATAATTAAATTTCTAAATTAATGGAATAGTTCGGAACGATATATGACAAAAGTCTTAATCCTTCTCAGTGAATTCAATGAGCTTAAAAAGGAGAATCTTAAGCTAACTGACTGAAATTTTAACGTCTACTAAAATCTATTTGCGGAACTTCCTCAATTAAATTATTATAGTCAGGTTGATAAAAAAAATGGAAGACCCGGTCAAAATAAATCAAGAAATGTATTTTAATGTATGATTAAATCGTATAGGGTAATTGTTAACTACAACATTGAGCTTTTGACACCGTAATAGATTCGAATTAAATAAGTCGTCTTTAATACTGCGACATACGTAACAATATTTGGTTTCAATTATGCTAGACAGGTACGACCACATATATCGAGATATTGCATACTTATATATAAGAATTATTGAAGCATTTAATGCAAAAATAGCTATGTGAGTATGTATTCTTTGGCATATCATCGTAACGTTGCTAAAAGCTGCAACGGACGCTTAAAAATTACCTTTTAGGCCATTCACTGTAGTTTTTGAAAGTTTCTATATGATATAGCAATATCTTTTCAATGTGGTCGCATCATATTTGTCGGCTCTGACGTTGAACAATATATTAGGATCTATATTCTAATCCGAACTCATTTAATAAATCAATACATATAATGACAGCTGTCAGTGGCGACACTTGTCAAACGTCAGAGCGTCCAAGTTAGTTTGCATGTGCATGTAAATGTTTCACATGCGTTTACATGTTGGGGAGAGGGACGTTGACTTGGACATAGCTGATTGGAAAGTAGCCGGTCTTCCCGTTCACGGAACCCTCGAACCAATTTTCGTCGACCTTAGAAATGAGGGTGATGACGTCATTCTCCTGAAAGTATTAATCACGTTTTAGAACATCGTTTTTAGTTATTCTCGTTCGTGATTCGCAATAACCGTGTTTCCTACACGAGGAAATAGAAAGTAGGTTAATGAGAATTAAACGCGGTTAAAGGCGGTCAGACCGCTTCCTTGTTGATTTGATATTCTTGATAATTTTTTATCCAAGGTTTATTTAATAAATTTTTGTTTTAATATAGTTGATGCGTAATTGCTGTATTTTATGACAAAGTCATAAATTATTTCATTTTATATATGTATAAGTTCACTTTTCAAACAACAAACTTTGTTGATGTCATCCTGTTGGAAATTATATGCTAAAGATTTCATTATTTGTTGTATTTTAAGAAATACGCATATTTTTTCTTTTCAGTACTATTACTATATTAAACGTCTGTTTTATTTAAAGAGTACTAAGAGAATCTCTTTTAAACCTCACAATATTAAAAGTTAGCATCAGAATGACATCAATGCTATAATTATAGTGACATTGAGTATTTCTAGGCGGAACTTTGCAAAACAGAGCCGTTTTGTATAAAATGACCTCACAGAAACTATAGATGGTTACCATATTTACTTTTTAACTTCACATTACTCGTTATGCTGTTCTGAAAACTACTTGCATGAATGTTACAATCGGCGTCATCCGTGCCGTACTAATAATATACTATAATCCATATAATTATTTTTACGACTCATTATAATTAAAAATTAATTAAAGTACCTGTGGATATTGCCAATTTCAAATTGTGGAAACCTGATGCTAAATTTAACTTACCTATATAATAAAAATATAGATAGCTATTAATTATATGGAAACAAATGTTTGGAATTATTTATAATTGATAATAATAATACTGAACTTATATGAATTTTGTGATGGTAATGTTTGGGTTTGGGTGTCAACTTGTATTTGAAAGCTATAAATACCGGCTTCAGCCATTTTCTACGACATTACTAGAATAAACGCCGAACATTAAAGAATAAAGACTGAAACTTTACCTCGAACACTAAGTTACGATGCTAAATTAGTAAATACTTGTAGCACAATGTATATTCAAATTAATTTCCACATATTCGTGTTTTCTCATATTACGTCCTTAATACGGACTTTTCTTGCAAAAAGTGTAATATTACCTTGAAGCCGAGCTCGCCCTGGTTTTCTGGGTCGAAGTCGTATAGCGCGGTGCAGCATGGGCCCTTGGCTTGAACCATCGGAGTCCTCGCGGGAGACTTCACCGGCGACGGCAGCGGAGACGCTACCATCATACATACATATACTAACAGTCATATGTACCCTCACAAGCTTGAGTGATCAAACTAGATATATATATTCAGGTTTTTCTTTCAAAAACCTACTTTTATATGAAGATTTTAGAATGAAACACCTGAAACGTTTATTTAGTTTGATGCAGCAAACTTGTGTTAGGGTTTTGGTCTGGACTAGTTTACGAGCTCGCTATGACTTATTGATAATTCTATTCATCATTTCGGACATATAATAACTGGTTTTTTATTAAGATCTAATAGAAAACAACGTTATTTGTATGCCCGAAATCATTAAAACGATGACAACAATAATAAAGCTGATATGATAAAGATTATAAATTCCAAGCGGTAATTAAGCCCACTGTAAAATAAAGGCACACTGTATGAGGTGAAACCAGTAGCTGGCCTATGAAGATAATTTGTTTCCATTCACGTCTGTTACAATGAGTGATAATGTTACTAGAGCGGAAGCCTCTAAAGAAACAGCTGATCATGCTGACAAACACAACGCGATCAAATAAAACATGCACGGCCTGCGATTACCAACAGATTCGATACCAACCAGGTTCGTGTTCCTCTAACACTCGCACTATAGAAGATTCTTACTAAGTAATACTATGTATGAATAATTATTATTAACCATCTACAACTAATCAATTATTAATCCTACCTTATAGGTTATAAGCAATGCGATAACTGATAACTTCGCCTATTTGATATTGCATGATATTATTTTGCGTAGTGTACTAAAAAAAATCTTGATCCTTATTCACGCGATGGGCAGTACATACTTTATAACTAAATTTTTCTTGACAGACGATTGTTTATAATATTTCTCTATCAATTTATAAGCGATGTTTTTTAAATGTTAATATCTAAACGTGCAAAATTTAATGATTAGGGTTCCAAAACTGAAACCTGTGTGACATACTATAAAAAAAACTTGATTAACTACATAATATAACGCGTCTATACGGTATCTCAGCAGATGTTATAAATTGTTAATCACGTTGGCTATAACTGATGAAAGCCACACAAAAAACCTCCAAATCGCTATATTAAGTATAGTGATGTAGTCAATAGCTTATGATTATTCGTTTACCGTTGTTCGAGCGCTGGGAAGCTGCGGGGAACAGCTCGAGGTTGGCCGGCGGCTTGTGGTCGGGGGAGCTCGCGCGGGATCCGCCCTCTTCGCGAAATAAGCCGTTTTACACCGTTACGATATGTACTTACGTGTTACATCTACTCACACTCAACAAAAGGAAAAACAACGTCTACACGTTTTGAAGGTCAAGTTGATAGTTACTACATATTTTGCTATTGAATCTCAAAAATAACACATATGATAAACTCGAAAAAATTAACTATATGCAAAGTCATCAGAAAAATCGACCATTTCCGCGGTTAATATGAAATTGGCTTCGCATATAGTTTTTTTGTATATAAATCTTAAAACTATAGAGGGATAGGAGTGGATGAGGAGAGGAAGTTTGTCTGTCTGAAATTAAAATATTTACTGTACAAAATTTACCACGTCCCACTTTTAAGTATTAGCAAGCGCTTTACTATACGTATATCACAAGTCTTGTATATTTGAACAATCTATAAAAAGCGGAGACAGAAAAAAGGAAAAATAAATTAATCACCAAAAAAAAAAAGTTCAGTCGTATACCCTATATACAAAAATTATAACAAACCGTAGCTACTGATTAAAAAAAATGTTAAGTGACATATATATACCGTACAGAAAAAATAACCGCAATTATCCTTAGAGTGAAATATACATTAATATGTATTGTTAATACAGCGTGTGATGGTGTTAATATTCCCCGTAGCACGTGGCCGCCGTGAGTGCTGTGCAGTCAACATGTGAAACAGCCTTTGTTTATGAACCACTATCGATCCCGATATACCAATCATTTACCATAAAAATCCCACCACCAAAAACTGAACCACAAGTAATCCATAAACAAAAAGCGGTGAACCGAAACCGAACTGCAAAATAAATATAAATATACCTGTCCGTCCATTAGTTATCCTTGGTGCGGGGTGCGGTTTGAAGTGATTGTGGTAGGGAGGGGGCAGGTTCTCCCAGGCTTTAAGGGGGTCGTTGGTGGGAGGGAGCAGGTCGAAGGAGTTGGATCTACAGGGCTGGGCGCGGGAGAGGCTCGGAGTGGAGCCGAACCGCCTACCATGGTTCAAGTCATGGATGCCCTCGATGTGAAGGTCGGCGAGCGTCTTTGGCACGAACTCCATTTTGGGACGGTTCACTGCCTCCTCTTTCCTATTGATAGATATAATAGATTTTTATTGATTTTATTAGCAATATTTGTTCGGTTTAATGATTTTTTATACTGAACTGAATGTTAATAGTGTAAATTATATTATTATTTATAAAAAAATTCAGTCGAAAGAAATAAATGTCTAACTGATAATATCCGATTTTATCGAGTGTTTTTTATCTTTATCTCTCCAAGGCACATTCATATAATTGCTCTACAGGGACTAAAAAAAATCTGCAGAGTTTTTTATCATCTTAGTACCTTATGGAATTTCATAGTTTTACTTATATATTATAAACCTACTTCTCCATTAGCGTAGACACCAGTCCTTTGAGAATCTCTGTACATTGCTGATGATATTCCAGAAGACCCTCAGCGAAGAAAGACAGCTGCGCCACTTGCTCTACCTGTAAATTGTAAAATATTTTGTTAGACCAAAACTAAGGTGAGTTTTGCCTATATTAATATACAATTACGTTGATATTAAGTGTGAAAGAATTTTTAAATAAATTTCTTCAAAATTAATAAGTAAATTCAATTGTGACTGTTTACACTAAAATAAACACGATGTTAGTAATTTACATTACTATAATACGTATGGGATGTGATCGAAAACATGATACAAAAATCCAAGTTAAGAAAAAATAGTCAGACTTAATCATTTATCGGAAAATAATGATAGGTATCTATTAAAAATAAAATATAAAAAATCGACCTTTCACACAAACATTTTTAACTACATCTTTTATTAGTAAAGTCTCAGTATGGGGTATGGGAATGTTATATATTAATTAACTTACGCCATCAGTAATCTGAGAAATAAAGAAAAACGTATCAAGATATTATTATTTTTAATAGCTCTTAAAGTCATCGTGAACATGAATTAAAATTATACCTTTTATAATACAGCCAAAACGAGATGTCCTCAGTTAACCAAGGTATTATAGAGAAAAAAACCTTAGATTTATCTCTACTATTCAAACTATCGTATTACTTTTTTTTTGATGTACGAAAAAACACTATACAGTTTAAAGGTCAACAGCCAATGTTACATTAATTTAAAAAAAGTTTCTATTAAATCCAGTATACTTATCACAATTAGAGTAGAGTTATAGAGAAAAAAATACATAATTACCTTTAGTACAGAAACTGTGGTATCACTTTTTCTTGTACAGAAGAGAAAATATTACTGTATATAATCATGTTAACAACATATAACATTAAATATATAATTTACACCGTGTTAGTAGTGACTCGTAAAATGGAGGGTAGGAACAAAATAACTTACATCATTATCAAGAAGATTGAACATTCCAATCTGCGCCAGGGTCAATGACTCGGCGAACTTCTCCTCAGCCTGTCTGATCTCATCGTCTGGAATATGAGACCCTGATGTATGCAACCGGAGTGACGACCGAAGAAAAAAAAACATAATAGCAAAATAATGAACAAAAAAGAAAGCATATACAGACCAAATAAAAGATGGACGGTGTAAATGTAGCCGTGGTGGACGAACATGGAAGAAATAATTGAAAAAATAAATAAAATAATGAGTCTATAATTAATAGATAAAACTGTGATTATTTTGAAAAAATTAGGTATAAAATTAGCCTTAAATGAGCTGTTGGAACTGTGTAAAAGTGTAACAACTTTCATCCTTTATCATCTTAATGTTGATAAATTTGTGTACTTAAGATTTTATATACTATTTAAAGACGATTAAAAATATTTATTTAATTTTTGAAATTCGGGTTTATGTTACAAATCATAATAAATAATTAAAACATGTGCTATGAATTTGTATGGATAAAAATTTTAAGGGTTTTGCAAGAACTAGTACAATGCTTATGGTTTAATAAAATCTAAAGAAAAATAAATAAATCTAATATAATATGAAATTAAAAAATAAGTACATAAAACTTTATTTTCATATTAACTTCTAATTATATTCAATGGAAGATAAGATGAAAATATAGTTTATAATCGGTTTAATCAATCCTAAAAAAAATTCTAGCGTTTTAACAAAATTGTTTTAAGACATATTATGTATTATTACAATCATATAAGTGCTTATAGCCTACACCTAGCTTAGAAAACCATTTGGCAGTTATTCAGCACTTATCAGTCATCACATACCCTGCCGTGGGGACGAACTATGATTCGGACTCGCGTATGGACTTCTAAGAATTACTGTCACAATATATTAATAAATAAACTAAAATATATATTAGATTAATTATTTGCCACATGAAAACAAAATTACCTTTGGCTTGTCTTCGTCGCTTGCAGTCGAAGTCCAATCTACGTCCCTGTAATTTCTTTCGGTGATGCTGTGAAAAAATAAAATTTATATCAGTAAAAATAGAATGAAAAATAAATTGACACGAACAGGATTCGAACCTGGAACCTGGGGAATATTATGTTCCAGTTTATTTTATTTTGATATTCCCAAAAAATGTTCTCAAAGATTAGATAATAAACCTCTCAATAATGGATGTTACCAATGAATGGATTATAATCTCACCATGACTTCTTTAAGGTCCTTGGTTTGCAAGTGATGCAGAGGCTCCAAGAAGCTCTGCTTGATGTTATCGTCCAGAGAATATTTTACATCAGCCATTTGCTTCAAAGCCTCTCCCATCTCTATTAGGCATTGTGCTACAAAAACATTAAGAATCTTTTTGTTTAACCAGGTTTTCATTTTATGGTCTCGATCGCGTTAACTTCTAATTTCCCTCGAGAAATATCCTCGAGTTCTGGATTAATGTCTTTTTGAATTGCGTGATTTCTAGTAATCTTTTACAATACAAATGTATGTATATATTATTCCATATATGTTGTTAAAGTTTAAATATAATTTCTGGCATAAAATAAAAAAGAAAATTCCTCAATACAAATATATCTCATAGCATACCTAGTACCTTTGGGATTTCTATTGAATGATTATTTTAATATTGTTACCAAAATGTTATCAAAGTTTAGACACGGATAAAAATGAATAATATTATCATAGTTTGGGAAAATACCAGCTATATGTACAAGTATAAGTTGCTTATATCTTGAGGCAATCAAATTGAGAATTATTGCGACACGTCCGTGGGGCTTCTTTGCAGTTGCGTAGTCTTGCGGAATCATACAAATGCTATTAATTTAAGGAAATACTTACAGAATACGGAATCTTCTCCAAGTTTCTTTCCATAGAGCAGCATGCAATCTCCTAGGACTCCTTCTGGTTGTGGGTAGGTGTTACTCTTCGCCTGTCCACTAAGTTTGCTGATACCTTTAACGGCTGCCATCTTAGCTCTAGCCGTTGGATTAGGTTGTAGAAATTCTTTTGTTTTTATTTGTAGTTCTTCAACCAGCTCGCAAGTTACGTCCGTTTTCTAAATAAAAATTGCAATAGAATTATATTTTCGTTCCAAATAAATAAACGAGCCCGTAAGCGAATTTCTTTTAAACCCATTAACAGCGAGGTCATAAAAATGTTTTGGCTGTTCAATACAACCATTTTTGACGTTAGCAAATTGCCAGAAAAACTGCATACCCGTTGTGACGCAACACTTTAACACAAAGGCTTCTGATGGAAATCATTCAAGAAAAACAAAAATAGATTTTACACGTGCCGACCGCATTGCGGACCATGAACATTGGCCATTCAATTTAGTAAAGTATTTCAAATTATATATACATATATTTGACCAAAATATGAAAAACTTTTATTACTTATCTAAAACTATTCATTTGAAGATGCTTTTGGCAATTTTAATAATTGTTATGTATTTATTTAAGTACAATCGTATAAATACTATTGAATTTATATGTATTTACTGGTTTCGGGCGATATTCGCGGGAATGTACAATGCTAGTCGCATTGACATGATGTTTTATAAGCAAGTAATATTTTATAGAGGAGTATTATTTTAGACTTATTATTGCTATAATGACTCTATAAGTAATGACCAAACATAAGAAGGAACATGAAGAAAAATTAAGATAATTATATACGATTTTGGCAATCAAGTAAATTACTACACAAAATAAAAACCAAAAATATTGTTACAAAAAAAAATGTTGACTCGTCCGTTTTAACGATACCCTTCGGTTCACATAAATGAAATTTCATGAGATTTTCAGCATTCGTTATAACATCCCGAGTAATAATTCGACCGCTGGAATGTTATAAACGGATAGACCCTTGAAAATTTAATGAGTATTACTCACTCTCTCCATTTCCATGAAGTCCAAATCAAGCTTCGTGCCCTCGGCACCCCCCATTTTTTCTGTGACATACTGAAAAGAAGATAAATAATAATATATTTAATAGAGAACATGTAGAACATAAGTGGAATAGTTTTTCATAGACAGTAAATTTAAGAAAAAATTCAACTATTGTATTATTAGCAAATTTAAACATAGTTTTTAAAATGTTGGAATCTTATTGTCTTAATTTTCATGGCATTTAGTTCTTAATTTCTTTAATATCCTATTGCTTTTAATAATACATATAAGAATAAGGTTAAAAAACATTTAGAACTACTAGCTTGGATAACTAGTATATTTTTCGACAAGGTTTTTTCTAATTGATCTACTTCATTAAATAATCTGTATACAGTAAGGAAAGAATATAAAGTTTTGTTATTATTAAGTAGATTCTTTTATTGTAGCGTTTAAAAGCAATATAACAAATAAGAGAGGTGAATTTATCGAATCTCTCGCTTGAATACAAAAGCGCAGGTCGGTTTAAAGCCTTGACCGAGTTCAGTGCAAAGTTGCATCTACAGGAGATTAAAATTGCACAGTAATATTCAACGATTTGAATGGCTTCAATTAAAATAGACATTTAGATTGTGGTATTAAGTCAAAAAAACAAATGAAGATGCTGTGTCTTTATAACCTTGTACCGATTGTTATACGATTATAGAATTCAATCACAAAGACGAAATTGAAATTGAAAATCATACTTATTTCTAATACTATTTGTCTTTATACAGTGTTAATATTCTGTTTGGTGATTTGTTTATTTGGTGCGGTTTAATAACGCGGTTATTGCGAAAGGACTGAATGATGAAGGCCATCATAATTGGGCCACAGTGGATATAGGACGCTCTGAGCTCCGGGTCAGGGTCGTCACCCCCTAAAGGACGAGGGGTGACAATTTACGAACATTGTCACATTGTTTTATCGATCACGTGCAGCCCCCGGATATTATGCGTTACAGACAGCCGTTATGATGATTTGCAAAATAATGGAAATGCTAATTGGAATTTCCATTTGATATTACACTAGATCCTGTTATTTTGGAGTTGGTATTAACTTATCTCAGTGTAATATAAAAGAAATATTTTCGAATGGAATATAAATATGATATTTTTAGTTCAGAATAATAAAAAATATGTAAACAAAATACTAAAAGTTCCTTATATTCCAATTATACATTCATTAATGTTAATAATAAATAGCTAAATAGTTTATCAAGAAATATTAACGGACTGCAAACCACGCACCCCTGAAAGTGTGCACTGATTTATGACGTGGTTATTTTATATTCATTGTCAAAAAATATTTGTATTATGTAATAATATTTTTGTCTGTTGATAACTGAACAAAAAACACATTAAAACTTTGGGTTCTTCAGCATCCTCTGACAAATTCTATGCATTTTTTATCTATAAAATCAGTCGTAATCAGTCTAGAAATTCACAGCCTTATATAACCTTAATTATTATTATATTTAGCACGTTTTTAATTTTAAAATAATCGTTTTCGAGTTAATAAGTTTTAATTGTTATAGCTTATAAGAAGCAGATTGTATTAAACTTTAAAACATAAGAGGGCAAAGATAGAATTATAAGCCAAAACAAATTTATAAAAGCAATTTTTTCCACAAAAACTTATTTCCTGTATCTAATATCCATAGTATTGCATGATATGTTTCTTCAATATTCATTTAATTCTGAAACATTCCATTTGACAATCTTTCCTTATACATGCGACATCGCACATACCCCTACTTTCGCCATCGTTACAAATTGGACTATCAGAACTCAAAATGACTCCACCAGTGTAATGGAGTTCTAGATAAAGATTAATTTAAGAAAATGTGAAGCTTAAACTCAAAGAAATTGATCTTACTTTTAATTAAATTTGGTAAATATATTGGTTTTATGTAAGTCAAAATAATCCCTACTAATATTCTAAATGCGAAAGTAACTTTGTCTGTCTGTCTGTCTGTTACGTTTTCACGCCTAAACCACTGAACTGATTTTAATGAAATTTGGTACAGAGATAGAGTTTACCTTGAGAAAGAATGTAGGATAGTTTTTATCGCAGATTTTGAAAGGTTCTCTTGGAAACGCGATATAATAGAACTCCACGCGGGCGAAGCTGCGGGCGGAAAGCTAGTATTTTTATATATAAGCCCATTTTAGTCGAATATATTCTACAATAAGGATTATTGTTCGTTAATGATAGGTAGATATTTAATTATATTAAGACAAGAATATAATTACTGAAAGCTCTCAGGCTTATGACATTGTTATTGCACTCCGCCTGAGGAATACTCCCTTCGTCAGAATCTAAGTAAATGTTGTATTAAGGCCGCAAATTAACATAATATAAACAAGATTAGGATATTGTTGTTTCTGTTGCTGAAATACAAGCTTTTAATTGCAATGAATTATTTTGATTTAGGATTAAATCTCAAATAGAAAATAAAAGCTGAAATTCCATCGACTCGAGCGGGATTTGAATCTGTGACCTTCGGAATGTCGCGTTTTAGTTGCTATAACAATAAAGCTATCGTGATTCGTGAACTGCATTGAGTTGGTGTATTAAGCATTCCATATACATATTTTAAGGTATTATCGACACTTAGGTGTTATCTATTAATTTTTCTCCCAAAAACTCTAATCAATATTTCCTAAATTTGAATATTTATAAAATATACAAATATTTAAAAATAAATTTTAAATATTTACTATATAAAATGATGAAAAAAAAATAGGGTCACTTTTTTATTTAAATTGAAACAATGAAAATAAACAAAGAAAAATTTTATAGTAATATTGAATATATGTATACAGGGTGACTGGTGAATTACTATCAATATTTAAGGGGAATACTCGGTACATGATTCTCATTCGAATTATGTAAAAAAAAAATAGGTAATTAATTTTTGACCAAATTTCCGTATAAATAAATAAAGTGTGGACACGTTCCAAGCGTTCCAAGTATGGACGCGTGCGGCGGCGTAGTGTTGTATCAGCACGCCGCCGCACGCGTGTTTGTGTGTGTGTGTATACCTAATCTGTAGGGTGTTCACACGATGCGTAATTAATTACATAACTTTTGGTTAACTTTACTTAGAAGTTTATTAATATTTATGTTATATTAATTTTTATTTTGTCATATATGATCGTCAAATATCACGTCCTCAAATATCGATAGTAATTCACCAGTCACCCTGTATATTCTTATTATTATTGGATTGAAATTGGATGAGTTTTTCGAGAACTATCAGTTAAAATTGAGGCTCGACACAAACAATTTCTAATTTTCTACGTCCAATATTGGCAGCGATACAAACAGCAATGTTTTATTTATGAACAAACTATTGCTACTCATTCTGGGGTTGAAAATTTCGGACACATAAAAATCAACGTTTTAAACAACGTATATAATAAAATTTTATTAGGACATGTGAAAATTATAGTGAAAACTATATTAACTAATGTTTATTAATCCTGCTATGAATACGGATTAGTTTAAGACGAGTAAACTTCTAGAATGCAGGAGCTTCTTAGTAAACCGAACCGAAGCAAAACCGCAACCGAAGTTGCTCGTTAACTCTAGTAGAAATTCTTGAATAAATTTTACTTGATATCCCGTCAGTGGAAAAAAATAAACAAAATAATAACTACTAAAAGTAATTATAATAATATAGAAATTCAAAATATATGTATATGTATAGTGAATTACATATATGATATAAATCTTGTATATAGGTATATGTCATGAAAATAATAATTTAAATAAATATAAAGAAGTACATTTTGAATATTCACAGAATTTCATGACTAGTATTTCGAGTTAATAGTTTAATCGTTACAAAAAATATATATAAAAATATTCTCATCGGTAAAATTTTTATATTAATAAAAACATATAAAAAAAAACAAGTTTCAAATAACCGCAAAAAAGGAAAAATAATCAAAAATAACAACTGAAGTTAGGAAACGTTTAATTTTAATATGTTTATTACGTGATCGAGACCGAATCATATTCAGGTGAATTGCGTGGGTAGTTTAAATATTTAACATATTCAGACTACCCACGCGATAGTGTGGGAGAGAGAAAGAAAGAGATAGACAGAGAAAGGGAGAGAAAATGGGAATTTTCACTTGCTGACTTTGAATATTATTATAATGAAAGATGATATGTAAATCGTGTCTGTTATTAAAACAAACCTCCCGGACTTGATATTAACTTAATACAATGATAATAAAATTATAAATTCTAAGTAAATACTATTTTGAAGTTCAAATGTAGATAGTTACATGGCTAGCAAGATTTATTCCTTATAGTAAAAATAAAATAACTATAACATTATTATACCAAAAACGTAATATTGATTTGTCGTTATTTTCTGAATTTAGATCTTTATTCACTACGAGTTTTAAACGACAAACTCTACAAGAACAATCTAGACTTTTTGTTTCTGCATATATGTATGTATAGTAGTACATAGATACATGAAAGGAAAAATTTTAAACACATTTTTTCTATGCGAAGGACGAACAAGAAACTACACAGTTGCGCTTATAACAAAGTTTGCCTTTACGCTTACAATACCAACGGCGTCAGTTGGTAGGGAGGAGGAATTTTGATAATGACCTACTTGGATTTTATAGGCTATCACGCAAGAAGTTTTATCAATTAATGGAAATATATTCTGGCTGGACGTTTAAGATGAACTTTATTAACGTTACTTATTATTAAATTTTTAATCGATGTATGTCAGTACTGGCTAAGAATATGTTTATATGCATACCTATTTACTTAGTTTAATATAATATAAATTAAACTATAATTTTTAAATATATGGTTATGTTGAATTTCAGCATAACAATTTATTATATATCGTGAATGTGAATTTAAAGCTATTGTATGTTTTATTGAGACCAATTACTGAGGAGTAAGTTTAATATTATGTGTTATTAAAGAAATATTACCTGATTCGCTTTATTTATTTGTTTCTTCAGTCCAGCGAACGCCAT